CCTTGCCGTCACGCGTTAATGTGAAATCAACATTTTAACCTATTTAGACCTGAAATCAACATCATTAAGCTTATGCGTTGCGTGAAATTGACATTTTGCCGGTTTCTAAGTGAAATCAACCTCCTTGCCGTCACGCGTTACTGTGAAATCGACATTTAAACCTTTTTTGACCTAAAATTAACATTTTTGAGCTTATACGTTGCGTGGAATTGACATTTTGTTGCTTTCTAAGTGAGATCAAAGTCCCTGCGGTCGCGGCGGGCCGATTCTTTGTTATGATAAACCGAGGCAAGACTTCGACTTATAACAAAGGCTTGGCTTGGTTATTATAACAAAGGATCGGCTCTGTTTATCATAACNAGGTATGTTTAGCAATGTCCCGTAGTTTTTCCGCTAAACTTTGCTTCGTTTTCAGGATATTGCGTATGCAAAAAACCACTCGGTTTTCCTAGCGGCGTCATTATAAAGCGAAGCAAAAACTAGTGGCAAAAATACAGGAACACGTTTTTCTATTACATTGAAGACCACATGCAAAAATTCAGCTAATTTGGAGCAGGAAAAAAGAAAAGCAACCAAAATCGTCACTTATCCCCTTTTATGACTAGCTTCTTCAAATGTTTTAAAATTGTTTTCACTTTCGTTTTCAAAATACGGTGGAATTGTGATTTTTCAAACCTCTAAGGGAAATGAAAATTGGTTTGAAAAATTACTCACAGGTAGTTCAAGAAATCAGGGGTAGAATTTTTCTTTTATTATTATTTTTTAGACATTGAACATACCAGATGCGTACCAAGACGAGAGATTTGATCCCGCTGTGAGTACAATTTGTGATTATGCAAGCTGTTGAGTGGTAAACGAATTATTTCCAATTATTGGAAATCATTCTTCACGATTGGGATAAACCATAAACGTTAGGAAATGAGGTACTAGGTAAGAGTGTAAAAATTATTAGTTTTGTGGTTTGCATCTATTTATCTGTCCATCTGTTTCAGTCCAGTCAGTTAGTCTGTCCATCTGTCTGTCTGTCTGTCCATCTGTCCATCCATCAGTCAGTCAGTCAGTTTATGATAGAACAATTTTGTAGGTTTGTGCAAAAAAAAAAAACTATTTACTGATACAAAAAGATGATCCATCAAATGTTGGCAAATTATGGCTTTTTACAGAACGTAATAAACTTTACAAGGTGCAGTCTGTTGCACTGAATATCATAGTGCAGTTACTGTTATTCATCATCATTTGCTGTCTTTCATCTCTATTGTATTGTAGGTTGACCAGGCTTCGGGATTTGTTACAAAAACAATTCTCTGCATGCCTATCAAGAATAGTAGTGAAGAAATTATTGGTGAGATAATAACTAGTAATTTTTTATCATTAGCTATAAGTAACTGTTAAGCATTATTTGTTACCTTAAAAAAACTGGGGCTTTTTTATCTTACTGATCAAAAATAATTCGTGACATTCTAAATTGTAGTTAATCTTGTATTGTAATAATTTGCAGGATACATTTTAAAATATTTGTACAATTTCTACATATTTACTTAATGTTTATTTTTACATTCATAAATCCTTTATGTTGTGTCCCCAATTAGCAGCAATGCTAAATACCCGCAGACACTTTAATAAAGGTTTTGTTGTTGTTACTCAACAATAGAAATTATTGTTATTTAGTGCTAACTATGTGGTCTGTGTTATATATGTGTGTGTGTACCAATCTAAACTTGTATTAATGCATCTGTAGACCTGGCTGTCTGCCCTTTTTAACTCTCTAGTTATTTCAGGTAGCCAGGCCCCTAACTTTGTTTATGTATAACTTTGCAAAGTATTTCTTGTTGTAGTTCTTAGAAATGTGAGTTATTGCCATGCTTGTCTTTTAGGTGTTGTCCAACTGTTGAATAAACTTGATGGCACATCTTTTAATAGGAATGATCAAAATCTCTTTGAGGTATGTCTTGTTAAATCCCTACAGAAAAATTCCAACTTACAACCATGTAGATCTTGCAAATTTTGGAGAGATTTTCAGGCCTTAAAGTTTGCTTTAGTGGTTACTGCTGCAATGTTTGACAATGCTTTGGTGTTATTGCAGGCATTTGCAATTTTTTGTGGCATGGCAATCCACAACACAGTCATGTACGAGAATGTGAACAAGGCCATGGCTAAACAGAAAGTTGCGTTGGAGGTTAGAAACTTTAAAATGTACTTTTTTCAGGTTTGTTTCTTTGTGAATGTGAGGCACAGTAGCCTCATGGTTAGTGCGCTCATCTCCGGATCGAGTGGTCCGGGTTTGAGGCGCGGCCAGGGACATTGCGTTGTGTTTTTGGACAAGACACTTAACTTTCACAGTGTCTTTCTCTACCCATGTGTATAAATGAGTAATGGTGAATTTGATGCTGGGCATAACCCTGTGATGGACTAGCTTGCCATTCAGGGGAGAGTAGAAATACTCCTAGTCACTTCATGCTACAGAAACCTAGAGATAAGCTCAGGCCTGATGGGCCACTTAGCTGCTTTGTGAATAGGAATGGCATTGAACAATTTGATTTGATTGTGATACACTAATAATTGTAAGTACTTTGTCCAGCTAAATGGTTCATCAAACCACAGGAATAGTTATTATATTATTGGGATTTGAGATTATTTTATTTGTTGCAAGTTTAATTAGTCCTCTTTGGACTCAAATGACATTAAATGCTTTTCTGATTTGCAATGTGGCAATGCATATTGTTTCTGTGTGATGAAAATTTCAATCAATTTACTCGCACCAATTTACGTTGCATCCAAGGTTCTCTCCTATCACGCCACAGCTCCACTGGAAGAAGCCAACAAACTCAAGGTATGTAACCACAAAATTAAAATCTTAGAAAATTCATGAGATATGCAGTTGATTGCTATATTGAGGGGATGCACCCTGACAAATTACAGGTCAAAAATTTCATTTAGTTGATTAGTAATTAATGTAACTAAGTAATGTTATGTTTTCTTGCAGTCTTGTCCTTTACCATCAGTCAACACCCTCCGACTGCTGGATTTCACATTTGACGATGAATCAATCAATGATCAGGACACCCTTTTGGGCACACTGGCAATGTTGATGGACCTAAAATTACATGAGCATTTCAATGTGGAGTACCAGGTATGCAGTGTCAACTACAGCACTCATAATCATCTCTTTAAGTAATGAAGTGGCACAATGACAAACCAGTACTGGAACCTTACTCCCTCCAGTTTGGCCATTAGGCCAGCAGACATTAAATTTTTAGCCTTTCATTCCCAAGATCTGAGATTTAATTCTCCTAATTAATACCATACATTTCTTTGATTGCTAGTCCTGAGAATTTGGTGTTATAACAAGACCACATCTCCTAGTCCATAATTTAAAAACTGTAAGGAGAAATCACATACCAGTCGCTCCTGGGATTCAAAGGGTCAACAGACTCGGTATACCAACATGTTACTGAATATCCTTGGGACAATCATATTTCTTGCTTAGTTTTGGCATGTTTTTCTCTGGTTGCAACCACCTCTCCTCAGCAACCAGTTTTCCAAAATACCAAAAGTTTCCAAGCCAAATCACTATATTTGGACCCTCTTGTTAGCAACCACTTCTCATAAGCCACCGCGACCACTTTTAGAGCTAAAAGTTCAAAATTTTCTTTTGTTTTTAACCTCCCGTAAGTGACCACTTGACAGATAATAGAGCGACAATTGGACAGTAACATTGTCGCATTCCTGGGTTGTACAAGAGACAGAAATCTCTCAATGGGAAGTACCGCATTATTTTTGAAATTGACTTTACACATGAATAAAATGTTTAAAACATTGGGTAAGTGTCTGCAGTTTCCTTGTGCTAATGAGGCCAAATTTTGACCCAAAATAGTCTAAGCTCTCGCAAGCAATCACCTCCTGTTAGCACTCACTAAGGCTTGACATTTTGGGCGGTTGCTTACGAGAGGTTCAACTCTATTTAATATAACCGTTTTGTATTTTTTTAACCAGGTTCTTTGTCGCTGGATTCTGACAGTAAAGAAGAACTACCGTCCTGTGATGTACCACAACTGGAGACATGCTTTCAATGTGGCTCAAACAATGTTCACCATTCTTAAGGTAGCTTTTCATTTGCACCTATCAATGAGACCTGATTATTGAATGCATTGATTGAATTGATAGATAACAGTAAGTAATGTGGCTAAATTAAAGGAACTGTCACAGTATTTTGAGTTACCTTGGCCACATAAAAAAACCACCATTAAATTGAAGGAAACCCAAAAAATAATGCTTTAAAAGATAGAGAAACACAAGAAAGATAATAATAAACCATGGGGGAATAAGGATGATTAATAAAGGATGGAGAAGATTGACACAAACTTCAAACAACAAATTTGAAAAATTTAGGATAAACTTTTCAAGATGCACAAACCATGACATAGCTCCTCTAAGTTTGATTGTTGGTGACATACTTGTATTTCTGCATTACAGGTCGATGAATTTGGGAATCTGTTCACTCCAGAAGAGAAGTTTGCATTGTTGGTGGCCTGTTTATCACATGACCTTGATCACAGGGGAACCAACAATTCATTTCAAATAAAGTAAGTCTGATGCTGTAAATAAAGTAAGTCTGCCCTACCACTGCATACATTGCATGAGCATTTAAATTTTCTGAGTGTCATTATAGTCCTGACTTTTCACTGAATGCGTTTTGCAGTGCACAGCAACCGTAAGTGGTATATTTTAAGGTTGGGTTCATCAATGAGGTCTTCTGTTTTGTTTGGAACCAGACAGTGTCAGTAATAACAACTTGTTTATAACATTGTGGTTGCAAGGTGGAGTTTTATTGCATTTAACATGCTAATCCTTTTCACACTTTTTTATTATTTTTTAATATTTTATTTTGGAATACCACACTTTATATACAATTTTACAATTACAAATTACTTACTTACATCTACATCATTAGCATTACTTACAATTTACAAAAAGCATGCAACATTGCTTGCAATACTAGTGCTACTTACAGCACTAACATTACTTACCAATTAACAATAATAATTCTTCCCACATTTAGGAGTGCGTCAGCATTAGCACAACTGTACAGCACATCTACCATGGAGCACCATCACTTTGATCAATGTATTATGATCATTAACAGTCAGGTATGTAATGGGCCAGATGATAACATTATTATTTTAAAGTTCATGTAGTGCTTATAAGATAAGTTATCTCTTGATGTAGTGTGCGCGGTACTATTTTGCTGTCTTTAATGTTAACTTAATGGACTAATTTGAATATATCAGATTTAAGTTTGGTCAGTCAAGGGTTTTTTTGGTGGTAATCTTGATGTAAAACTGAATGGTTTTAGTCATGTTTACTACAAATTTAGAAGTTTCAGTTCTGTAAATGACTTGCATTTCCTGCTTATTACAAGGACTTTGAAGAAGATTATAAGCTTGGTTTGTGCTCCATTACACAGAAAATGTGACATTTTGTTACTGATTTGCACAGTTAATATTCTGTAAATTAAACAGCCTTGAGTGGGTTTGACTCCTTATGGGAGACCTCAAAGTTCCTTTTTTCCAACTAACTTATGGCACTAACTGCAGTGAATATTGTTGTTTCTTTGTACAACTTAGAAACAAGATTTGTTGTAATATATAGATCTCACCTTGAACATTTCAGGGAAATGAAATTTTTGGATCACTCTCAGCTGAGGATTACAACAAAGTAATAAAACTTGTAGAGCAAGCAATCATTGCAACTGATCTGGCTTTGTATTTCCAGTAAGTTGGAGTTGAATTTTATTGCTCTTTTGATTATGATCCTTCTGAAAAGGGTTGCTTATGCTTAATCCCTTTCACTCCCTGTGGAGCATAGGTCCATGGAGACTGCCCGTCAACTTTTTGATTTCTTTCCAAGTGTGGCCTGCATTTGACAGCTCATTGTCCACGATTCTCCTCTGGCTGTTTCTAGGATGACCTTGATTTCTCTTTCCCTGGGGGTTCCACCTCAGTGCATGCCTGGTAATATTGCTGATGGGTTTTCTTAGGGTGTGCCCAATCCAACCCCATTTGCACCTTCTAATCTGGATTGTAATTTGTTCCTGTTCAGTCTGAAAAGGGTTACAGCAATGAAATTGTTGGATTTCACCAACTGGAATTTTAATTTTGTTTGGTATTGAGAAACTTCAATAGAAATAATAAAATTATAGTTGTCTGAGGTTTCAATGTTGCTGACATCATTATCAAGGTAAAAATGACAGTTTTATTGTGGTGTGACTATAAATTAGTGGATCTAGTATAGTAGACATTGAAATGCCAGACAACTATAATTTTAATTTCTATTGAAGTTTTTGAAATAAGTTTTGCTTGTAGCGAAAAAATGCATGTGGACTTTTTCTTATATGAATTTCTTTTTCTATGGACAGGAAGCGCACTGAATTTTTCAAGAAAGCTGAGGCAGGATGCGAAGATTGGTCAACTGATGAGAACAGAGAACTTTTGAGGTATGTTCCATTTTACTCAACAATTGCCACCCAAAATATAGTTTGTATTTTATCATGTTGTTTTTGGTTATTGTGTCACTTCAGGGCAATGATGATGACTGCATGCGATCTTTCAGCAATCACTAAACCGTGGCCTGTGCAAAGAAGGGTAAGAGACCTTAATACATGTTTATTAATTTATTTTTATGCTAGTACCCTTTGCAGAAGGCACTGTGAAAGTAAAGAATCTTAACTCGGAACACTCTGTCAGAAAATTGTGGTCACTCACTCAATCTTCCCCATCTTCGTGGCTGGGACATACACCATTGCATGACATCACTTCTCCACTTCTTGCAGTCCCTGGTGTTCTTTTCAGCCTCCACCCAGACCCAGCCAAGTTCTTTGAGGTCTGTGGTCACGATTCGCCCCCAGGTGGTCTTTGGCCTTCCTGTGCACTGCTTGCCTTGAGGGATGCACTTGAGGGCAACCTTGGGGATGGTGTCATTTTTCTGTGGAACACATGACCTAACCATCTCATGTCGCTTAAATTTTGGTGTTTTTAACTTGCTCTCTGTTCTTTTTTCTCACCTATACAGACAGCTTTACTTGTGGCGGAGGAATTCTTCCAGCAGGGAGACCTTGAACAGCAAGAATTGAAGGCAACACCCATGGCAATGATGGACAGAGCCAAGAAAGATGAACTGCCACAGATGCAAGTTGGATTCATTGATTCTGTGTGTTTGCCACTTTATAAGGTTAATATTATGAAGATATCACTTTAAAAACTTTCATGTCAAAATTATTCTGACACTTCTTCACTTTGGATTTGTAGTAAGAGTTTTCACTCACTTGGCCAGCAGCCTTGCAAATTTATTAAAACATAAGGAAGTGCTGACACAAGAAAAGAGTTCAACTCCCACAGGACACCAATATGGCTGCTGTGGCATCATGTGAAAGCACACTGTGCAGGGGAACATGTTTGACTGACCACATTCATTCTCAGTTGTGTCATCTATGCCAACTCTCCTGGATTATCTGGGAGTCTCCTGGATACAGACTGAATCCCCCGGTCTCCCGTGCACGTCACAAAATCTCCTGGACTCGAAGGAAAGCACTTAATTTAGCTGATTTTTTGCCTTTTTTGAGGGAAATTTTAAGAATATTTGACACATTTTGTGGCTGAATCAGACAAGCTGTACTTTTAAAAATGTTTTTTTAGGGTCAAGAAGATAAAATTAGCAATCTTCCAAAAATCTTCCGGATTTCAATTTTTTTTTTCTGGTTATAACCAGATTCAGGTGAATATTAATGTTAAAAGCTGACGTTTCGGCCTCATCATGACACCAGTCTCAAGGCAAAGTGAATAAATAATGCGAAGATTTGATTTCTATACAGTTTTTCCTTGAGAATGGTGTCACAATGTCTCTGAAACATCAGCTTTTAATGTGAATGTTTGCTTGCTTATGTTTTAAGAAATTGTTATTGATCGAGACTTTATAACCAAATTTTAAGTTGTGGTTGTCAGGATGAATTTATATCCTATTTAGAACTATTTTGATTTTGTTTGTAAACTGTCCATCCTTGATACTCACGTTTCCATGGCATTTGTTTTGGGTTTGAAAATTATTTGACCAAGAGAGTGTGAATAGCTTTGTCGCAATTAACCTTCTCAATTGCTTTTGTCATAGGCTTTTGTGCAAATGAATCCAAAACTTGCACCTCTCAAGGAAGGCTGCCGGGAGAACAAACTGCAATGGCAAAAACTTGCTGACGACCATAAAGCCCAGGTATGTACATTTTGTTCATTTTTTTCATGTTCACTTGCACTTGCTCTGAAGGAACTGTGTTGCAGATTTTAGCCAAATTTAGACATCAGAAAATGGCCACTAAATTGAGTGAAGTATTAAAATAACCACTTAAAATGGTAAAGGAACATTTTAATAACGCAACAAAAATACAAAAGGTATGGATTGACAAAAATTGGAGAAGATTAGAACAGATTGCAATATGGGTCTTTGAAAAACTGTTAGGCTGGACAGTTTTCAAATTTAATCTTGTTTGTTTATCACCTGATTATATTGCCTGGGAGACATATTTGTTTATAATGAAGCTATAATAATATTTTGCATTTAGATCCAAAGAAGTAATTTATTCCCAAACAGTTCCATAGCGAGTAGCATTTGGCAAAACGTAATAAAACAGACTAACTCAGCCGTGACACAGACCCTTTAAGTCTTATAAGGTTCAATCATTAAGTTCTACTGGAGCGCTTGGAAAGCTCTCTTTGAGAAAATCTACTTACACTCTAAAGTAGAACCATCCTCTCTCAGGTCCGGGTTCTGTACAGCTTGAATTAACGGAAGAATATAACCACCCCCTTGATGAGGTACAAGTCTCCCCTCCCCCCCCCCCCCCCCCCTCCCCAACCCCTACTCCAGCATTATGTAAAGGTTGTTAAATTCTGGAGTAGAGGTTCAGTTTTTAATCTCTGGTTACGTTCAGTGTGGTGTGTCACTGTCATTATTTCAGTATCATTATATACTTGAATGACTGAACTGGAATAAACTTTAATCATGTGGCTAAAAGTATCTAGTAGAGAGAGAACCCTGTGCTAATAGGGGAGACCTAATTAAGAATAAAAATGACTGGGATGCTAATGTGCATGAACTGTAACAAATTATTCTATTTTACAGGGCTGGATCAAAAAAAAAACAAAAAAAAAACAAAGAATTGCTTACAATAGGTGGCAGCCCTTGCAGCCATCTTTTAGAAAGCTGGATAGATAATGCCTTCTAATTTGCATCTCAAAAACCTTAAGGTTTACTCTTCGAGTTACAGTGGAACCCTGTTAATCCAGTCACCAACAGGCTACATAAATCTGACCGTATTAACAAACAGGCTGTATTAACAGAGTGGCCGTGTTAGAGGGGTTCTAGAAAATCACTGACTCGGCTTTTGTTTAGGCCAGAATTAAGTGGTGGTAATAACAAGGTGGCCGTATTGAATGGTGTGGTCGTAAAGTGGGGTTCTACATAACTGTACTTTTACCATTTCCAAGCTGATACTGACAATGGTGCTACTTTTTGCCCTGATTTCTTGACATTTTAAGCCAATTATCAAACATTATGCAAGGTCTAAAAAGAGACTTTTAAGTTGAAAGGAAAAACACCAACGCTTTCAGCTTGATTGAGTCATTTTGTTCATCTTTTTTATGCAGATTGAGAATCAAGTGTGGAGAAAGAGATGAGATCTGAGATAATGTAAATACTGAACATTTGTTCTTATCTTTGTTTGTTTAGCCTTAGGTGTGGTGTACATGCTCGCACTAAGTTTTACCTTGTAGGTATGTAATAATCCACTTCACATGATTTTGTTACGTTCACAATAAGGGGTTTCATTAAAGAGACGCAATCCGTACTATTAACCATGGCTGTGTCTCACAAAGACTGGGAACTATCGAATTTACGAATTTGATTTGCTGAAATCGATATTGACCGCAGTCTAGATTTTCCCATCTAGACCGGCATGTAGCTAGACCGGTTTCATTTTGCGTTGAAAAAGTAGCAAAATAAAATACAAAAATGTTCACCATTTTCTTTTANGCGGAATCCGATACCCGATAAATTCAATAGAAGAAGCCTCGGTCGTTTCACGCCTTACCGCCTCCTGACACTTCCTAAAAGAAAACATTGCTAAAATTATATTTTTTTCATAAAGTACATTTATTAAGCTTTCTTATGATATATAGTTTGTTGGAGTTTTATTGAAATTGGCGCGCGTACAATTTTTTTCCCAAAGGGCACCCGCGAAGGTGGGAAGTAACCTTAAGGTGAACTTTTTTCAAAGTGAGAAAACTAGTGCCCAGGTCAACGCAGTCCTAAAGCTGACTGTGTTCCTTTAAGGGCCCGGCACCCTGCAAATTGACCAGCTGCAAGGATGATTTAGCCTGCCTGGTTTGACCATCTGGCAGAAAGTTTTTCTTATAAAGAAGTTCAGTTCAATAGTTTTGCCCACCTGTGAAAACCAGTTGCCACCTTGCTGAAAACGTTAATGAAACCCTTAATGCAATATGCAGTTTTTTCACAAATCAGGATTTTCCAAAGACGCTGGAGGCCAGACATAATGGCTGTTTGCTGTTTTTGGCCATGAAATGTCTTCAGTACTCTGATGTGATAACTGTTTACCTTATATTTTTATGACTTTCATGAAGCACAGAATGTCAAAGCACTAAGAGTAGAGATCGCAAGATTGACTCATAAAATCGTTTGTCAGCCAACGCTTTGTGATAACACCAATTCCTGGAGAATTATATTTTTATATTTTAGGCGTATAAATGCACAAAAACACCAAGCGTACAATCTCTAAATCTAGAGGAGAGGTTTTCAAACCATATGCTATCTAATAATAGGAGAAATAAATTTTCACTGTGAATTTTTTCTTTTCTAGATTCCTCTTTCAATAACTTTTTGTTCTTCTTCCTGTAGGTCCATGCTTGAGGAAGAAATTCACAAGCAATTTATGAGTTGCCTTCACAGGAGCAGATAAAATAGCATTATTATGAAAAAAATAGAAATCCTTGTAAATATAGTACATATAAATTTAATTTTCTAGTACATGAATAGTAAGATCATTGCCAATTGATGGTTGTAAAAATATTATGTGCATTGCGAGGTAAAATTATTCAAGTGTCTGCTATATTTTCACTATCAAAAATGGCCAACTGGTGGTTAGGCATAAATCGACGTCAGTATTGGTTGGTAGACCAGGCTTGAACGCAGAGCATAAGGCATATAGCCTATTGGCAATGAATGGGTACATCTCTGTCACTGCAGAAGGAATAGTGAACTACCTTATTGCACTCTCAAACTTACATCTTGTGGATGAGATAGTTAAGTTTTGATCTTGAAACAGAGAGCAAATTTACGTGCATGTGCAATATGCTATGGCACAGATGTGTCAACTACCACTTGCCACAAAACGTTTTTAGCCTAGTTCACAATAGTAACACAACAACACAATGACTTAAACATAACAACATAAGAAGGAAGAAGTTGTGTCGTTATGTTTGCAGTGAGAACATCCTGACATGATGGCATAACAGCATGGAGATAATGTCATTGACAGTACCAGCATAAGCGATTACGTCATTATGTCATTATGTTGTTTATGTTGTTATGTCTTAAGTGTGAACCAGGCCTAAGAATCACTCGGCCATTTATGGTACATGGAATAGGTGAAAACTGAAGCGCCATTATCAAGGCCTTTACATTGGTCATCTAGTCATGTGGCTCCATGTCTAAGGAAGAAAAGGTTGTCAAGTCTGAAACAAGGTGTGGATCAGGATATATTTTTTGCTTGGGAACTTCACAGAATGTAATATTATTAGCTGTTATATGTTTATAAATGCCAGCAGGGCATAAATAGTAGAAGTATTGGTTTTAACCTGTTCTTTTATTTCATGTTATAAGGAAATAAGCTAGGCCTTAACTTATATTAACCTACGGAAACAAATCTATGTCATTCATGCATTTCACCCTCCATAAGGTAGATGCTCGAGCATTGAGCCGAGAAATTCCTTTATGATAACATAGCAGTACAAGTGGGTTAACACAATATCAATCCTGTCCAATCTGCACAGTGTCATATCGTAAGCCAGGCCAGGATCATTGTGTTATGTTCTTATAAATGGCATCAAATTCATGAGACATCATAAAATGGGAACCTTTTGACAACCAGCAATAACTAGGGTCTCATCCTTGGGGGAGTAGAAAAATTAATTTTCTATTTGACAGAAATCGGAGTTGGTGCTGGCACTTTTGGCTTCTCTGATGATCCCTTTGATTGGAACAGACTTCAGTCGTTACCCTTTCATTGTTGGAGAGAGTGGTAGTATTGTTTCAGGTTAGAGAGACAATAATATTCATATTATTGTCAGGGATGTTAGAAACTATGAAACCAGGAATAGGGATAGTTTGTCTTTGGTGATCAGGATACTTGCAAACATTTTTGGACATTTAATTTTCTGACACCTTTTATCTCATTTCAGACAAATTTCGGACAACAATTTCGGACACTTTGCTGGAACATCTTCAATTGAAATGTTGATGACAACTTATAAAATGATCAATCAGAGCATACTGTCATTGTGAGCTACCAAATTCTCAAAACTGGCATTGAAAGAAAATTTATATTCCCTGTTTGCAACTGGAAAGGTTTATCATAAATTCTAATAATTACTATTATTAAATCATGGTGCGGGACACTAATCAATCACTTGTTCCTAACATCTCACTGCTATGGAATAATGAAATGTCAGAGAGAAAAATCACTCTGCCCAGTTCATAACAGAGCTTGGTTTATTGGTAATGACACCACATTCTAAACTTCAAAGAACTAGTTTAAAATGTCGATAAAAGCATTCGCTAGCTAAAAAATAATTTCAAAAAGAACGTGAACTTTTGGCTGCCACAGCCAAACATTTTAATCGAAATTTTTAATTATGTCTCATCCTGGCTGCGCTTCAATCTTTAATTCAAAGAACTAGTCTTCTACTAAATAAATTTTGGTCATACTTAGGATTCAGTTGATCAGCTGGTCAAGCACTGTGCTGTCATAGGAAATTTTCAGTGAGAAAGGGGCACATTATGAGCAGTATCTTAGTTGTATTTTTTTCTGCCTTTTTCAGTAACTATTTATTCAAACATTACCAATTTAACTTAACTCCTAACTTAACTCTTGAGATGGTAACTCAATGATGAAGAAATTTTGTGTAAGAGCTGTGGTCTGACACAAATCTGGCTGAAACTGAGCCTGCCGCATATAAGAGGGGTTCCATAACCCTAAAGTCAAAATGTTTTCCTCTGTGCATTAGTCTAATGGAATTCAATTCCAAACAGTACACCTTGTAGTCAGTCCAAATTATGTCTGACTCATTTTCAGTCCCAGGATATGCTTTTAACATGTTGATCACAAGAAATCCACTAACTGAGCTTAAACTAATGCATCTAGAAAATGCATTAATTTTTAAGGACTGCAAAGGAGAATGTGTATGTTGACGTCAAAAACTTCCTTGTACAACAAATTATCTCATGTTCCTTACCTGCTTGTTTCAAAGTGATATGAATTTTACACTGAACTTTTAATTCATGATAAATAATTTAAGAAAAATATTAATAGCAAAAAGTTATTAAAAAGTGCTGCTGATCTTGTTGTAAATTTCCTTTCTTAAAAGACTTTCAAATGTGTAACATGCTTTGCTGTTGGTCAAGAGAAAGGTATTTGTGTGCTAAGAGACAGACCATTATTTTTGTGGAGGGGGGAACACAGTTTAAAAAAATACATTCCTGCACAGCAAAACCAGCTGAAAAAAATTCTTGAAGGGGAACCATGGGGAAAAAATTGAGCAAGGGATTTCTACTATCCAGGTCCTGCGCTTGACTTTAAAAAAATTCTTGCACAAGTTATTGCCCATCCCCNCCCCCCGCCAAAAAAAAACATGCTCAACATAAAGGTGGGGGAAAAATCCATGCCCCAGAAAAAAGCCCATCCAACCACCTCAAAAAAATATCCCCCCCTCAAAAGAATGGATGGTCTGTGCCTAATTGAAGGTGTACAATCTCTATTAACTATCAACGTAATAGAGTATATTTACAGTAGAAGGTAGTATGATTACATGTCTACTTGAAGCAAAATCCGCTGTTGTTGATGACAGAGTAGTTATGAGCCTTTTAATCCAATTGGTCATGTAATTATGAATGTCAGTCGTAACATGCAATAAATGCCAAAATAATATTTGTCACAAAACAGTAGATACAGTTAATCATGGAATCTGTAGAATGTTCTAAACTATAGAAAAATTCCACAGAAATACTGGTTACCATATTTGCGAAGAAAGGTCTGGAGAAGCTGTTCAGCCCCTCTGATGACCTTGATAGCTCATTAAGTGCCTCGTTAGTGCCTAGTGTTTGCTTAGATCAACATGTCAACGACCATCTTGTAATAATGTAAGCAAATTCACAATATTAGCATGCAGTAGTGTATGTTATGTATTGTAATGTGACTTGTACAGGACTGAAAGTCAAAAGTACTTTAATCTCCTCAGATGATATTGTGCAAACAACAAAAAATAATTTGGGAAACTATCAGTAGATCAAAACATGATTCTCCCATCCGGGCAAAGAAATATTTTTAGTGCGAAATATTTTTCAAGCCCATTTAATTTAATCTGTTGAAGCCACCTCCTTGACAAAGGGGTTAACAATAAAGAGTAACTTATCCACAGGGTGTACTGTCAGGTACACTGTGTAACGTAACATTAAATTTTAATAAATAACTGAAAAGGAACTGTTGTATGAGCCATTCTTCCATAATCGTTTAATTTCTCTTGAATTTTTTGTGTATTTGTTCAGTGTACAGTTGAACCTCTCTACCATTTCCTCTCTCCTTGGGGACAGAGGAAAGAAGCCATTGTAAAGAAGTGGCCATTTTGGAGAGGTAGGGGTGTAATGTGACACCTGTTCCCCTCAGGGGTGCAACATTTATATTTTAAAAAATGCTTATATTAGCATATAAATACATAACACAATCAAAAGATATCAATAAAATCAAAACTAAACAGAAACGGTGACCAACAATGCATGGTATGATATAAAGGTTGGTGACCTTTTGAAGTAAAACTGAGGTTTTGTATGCACTCTTCTATTGGTCGTTTATTAACTGGCCGTTGTCGAGAGGTTATTTTCACTGTTGGGACGCACTTTAGTGGCCATTTCCGTTGTGGAGAGGTGGCCGTTGTAGAGAAGTTAAAATAGGAGTGAATGTATGGACTGTCTGCCCGGACCAAAAAAAGTGGCCGTTAAAGAGAGGTGACCATTGTAAAGAGGTGGTCTCTACTGTAGTTTTTGAACCTCCCAAGAAAAGGAAAATGGGTGTGAGATATTGGAAGTTCCACATTTTAAAGATAGAAGTGAATTACACTTGGTGGGCACATTTTCATTTGAGACACTACAATAACCTTTCCCTTGTAGGTACAGATCTTGAGTTACAAAGCAAATCCCAACCAAACAAAGTGAATAGAGGTGGCAACTCTCAAGTCCATTTACTTGAACAGCTGAGATAAAGAATTAATTTTCAACTGTGGAACTCCTCTCTAACGTGTGGAACATTTCATGGGCTTCAGCACAGTTCAAATACATAATCCAAGAGATTCGTAATTGCATTTAATTAACCATCAACCAAAATTGTAAAAAAATATTGGTAATAGTACCGAGTAAAGGCCAATTCAGGCTCTCATGACAACTGCTTACAGACCAAACTGCAAACACAAAGCCATTTCAACTGTTACTGACAGAAGTCTTTTCTGGTCATTAAACTATATTCAGAAGTTATTTTTAATTTCATTATTTACATCTTACAAAAAAGCTCGTCCAAACTTTTAAATAACACTTCTTTCACAATTTCCGCAACACATCCAATCATTCACACAGCAATACAAAATATAGTATGTATAATATGTACAAATTGTATTATATTTTACTAAATGATTTTATCCATAAATTCCTTTCTGCCAACTTTCATTCAACAGCTGTAGCTCACCACCACCTTTTGACTGCACACAACATCATTTCTAGGAAAACCATTGTACATTTTACCCTGCCAAAGCAGTGAGCGACTTGTCGCTTACTAATGCCTCTGGCACGCGAATACAAAACTCAGACAGGATCAGCTGCGTCCTATTGAAGAATAATTAGGGTCATGTTTTTGTGTGTCGTCCTTGACTAGTTGACCAGTAATCGGAGTTGATCTGGTATGAATGTTGTCCCTGCCTGCTACAGGCAATGTGCTGGCCCAGAAAATATCCATACGTCCCCTCTCAAAAAGGATTGGAATTTCATGGGGACGGGGGAAGGGTCTATAGGACCAAAACATTTAAAAAATGTACAAAGCTTGATTGGAAGTCCTCAAGGGATGGGTTGGTGGGGGGGAGGGGTGGCATCTTAGGAAAAAATCCCTTCTGTGGGGGAGGTATGGATATTTTCTGGAACTGCACAATAATCACACTAAGAACTTCCATTAAGTCAACCTTCAGAGATCTGAAAGTGACTGCATATATGCGGGTCATAAACACTTCAGACAAAAGATAGTCTATAGCCCTTAACAGGCTGGATGGTGATGTCTGTCACTGTCACTGTCACGGTGGGTTGTCGAAGGGTATAATTTGCATCTCTTTAAACTTCTCCTGGACTGCAGGTTTCAGTGATTGGCTGTTATAATACCAGATTGGATCTCCTCCTTTGTTGAAAGCTGAAAGACAATGCATTTCATATAATTTTGGATTGATCTTAATAATTACACTCATGAATCAGTATTAACTGCATTCAAATTGCTGGCTTTTCTGTAAAGAGGAGGGAGCAGTATTGTATTGAAAGTGTCAAAATAGAGTAAACAATATAATTATCATATCTTTTAACCCTGCAAAAATGCACAATTTGTCAGTGATCACCCCAGAAACTGTCGATACAGCCTAGCTAGTCCCTATCCCTTCTTTTTTGGCCAGAACTGAAAGAAACAACATTTAAAGCTGGTGGAAACAGGTAGGACTTTGATTGCTGCCAAACGTATGCTATATGTGGTGGGCCGTTCTAAACTCAGCTCAGCAAACAGGATTTTTTAAAATTTATCTTAAGTTTGTTCCTTTTTGAGGGGAATTAGCCTAGAATAGTGTTGGAAGTTTTATTTTATTTTGGAAGGGGTTTCTAAACTGCTCAGCAAACAGGATTTTTTTATTTATCTTAAGTTTGTTTGTTCCTTTCCGAGGGGAATTAGTCCACAAAAGGGCTGCAATTTTTTTATTTTAGAAAGGGTCTCTTCTCAAGGACACTGAAATGGTGAAATATTAACATTTCAATTTGGTAATCAAGTGGCAAAATCAGCATTAATAATATTGTTTTTCTCTAAAACAGAAAACTTTTCAAAAAAATTTTATTTTTGGATTGTTGCCATCTCTTTTGTATTTTTATTTTTTACTTGAGAGCAAGGCTACAAAATCAAATGAAAATAATCAATGAGAAATAAAAACTTGAATTCATCCATACCTTACTGTTAAATTTTGGATAGTTTGAGAGAGGTTCCTACAATTGAGCATATTGGGTTGTAGTGGCCCGCAGAGCTTGAATACCAAGAGGGTGCAAGGAAAATATCATGCTTGTTTCATGATCATTGGTTTCTGTGAATCACATGAGATACAAATTGGATTTTCATGACCTCCATGTGAAGTTGTAAGCACGACTGACAGACAATATTTAATTTTCTCATGGGTACTGTGGGTACCTCACCTTTGATCCCCTCCCTCCCCNCCCCCCCTCACCCAAAGAAAAACAGTTGGGAAAATCAGTAAACCAACCAAACAAGATGGAACTTGACCGTTTATTTTATAATTTGGTTTTATGTAAAATAATATTGTTTTCAGTCATATCATTCTCGTATAATTTTGTTTGGTTCTAACTTAGGATCTATCAAAGGACATACGTATAGATGACGTCATTAACAAGTTCTGTTTGTTTCTTTATTATATGAAACAAACATAATTTGAAAAGTGAACTGATCAACATGACACGAGCGTGGGACAAAGAACAAATCTGAGTCCCCAACAGGAATCAAACCCATGACCTCCCAAACAACATTTTTCCATGTTGCTGTGCATCTGTTCAGTAATAGATCACAGAGGACATCAACATAAGTGACACTTGCCTAATGGCCTTGTGTGCCACTTTTTTGTTCTTACCATTTTTGAAATCATCTGTGATCTAGAACTATTGCTGAACAGATGCACAGCAACGTGGAATCTATTTGTTTTATATATTAAAGAAACAAAAAAATGTTACTGACGCCATGTGCTAAATATTTTCTACCATTCAGTACTGATTAGAGACTGCAAACCGGGGAAATGGGCAAATGGTCAGGAAATTCCTGCTGCTCTGTTCCAAATAGAAAAAGAGGAGTATCTCTGGAAGTGGTATACAATTTCTGAGCAGATTTTTCAGAAAATTACTGTTTTATTTGACCTTCAATCAAACTTCCCGGTTTTTCCTGGCTGCATGGTTAAACACTCAGTTTGTCCAATGAGGGAGGAGTACCCACCCCCTCCCCCTCCCCCTCCCCCCCNAAAAAAAAAAAAAAAAAAACACGTATCTCTTTGCGCAATAATTCTTTCAGGTTTTCAATACACCTTTTATTGACGCAGAAAATTTTCGTATAAATATTTATGTCCTATTATAAGTTACATCAGCCGGAAAAAAACAATAGAGCCTAATTTATGGCGCATCGTTATGGAAATTAGCCGGTACATGCCGGCGCTCCACAGTCAGCTAGGACAAAACTTCACGAAATTGCAAACTTACCATTTCCACCCCTAACTTCAAGAGATTGCCCAGCAAGTTTAGCCAGATTTCCTCTGGTGACACTTGAGCAATGTAAATAGTTGTTCGACTTCTCGCCGAAGTGGACATAGAACGAACCTTTGACGCCCGTCTCTCGCTTGATGCTTTGGCAAATGACTTTTGCGTCCGCATTGTTTGGAAAATTCACTGTATGATCTTTGCCATTATAAACAACTGTGATTGATTCCAGCTCTTCGTTCGGTTTCTCCATTTCTTCTTCTTTTCTCAGTCTGGTTTTCCTCTTTGACTTCTCGGTCATGATAAGATGATTTGTAAACAACAAAGTTGTTCGGCACTCAAACGCTCCACTCTCAAACTTGTTTGCTTGCAAGATCGATTAACTGCACCCAAGGGATTAAGGGTCTTTTTAAACCAATGCATGAAATAAATTATCTTCCAGCAATAAGAAAACACTAAAGCTAACGAGCGAATCAAAAGTTGCGCACATTGCTTAGTATGCAAAACATAACATTTCACCTCGCCGGTACATGATTAACACGTGAAAAATCTGATGTTTTTCGGGGGGGGGGGGTAAGACCGGGGGGAAGGGGAGGGGGCCTTTCCTTGAATATTAACATTTCCCAGATTCCACCTCAAAACTGTTCTGTTACATCTGTACCCGACTGTACTCGATTTTAGAAATTACTTTTCTTTGTTACTTTATTTCTCTCCTGAACATTTGGAAGACTTGATGTAAAATTTCTTAGGACTACATCATTTGGACTTTGGACTGGCTTATTATTATTTATAGCTTAGTCCCCCGCCCCCCCTTTCATCTGAAGGAAGGAGCTTGAAAATGTTTGTCATTACTTCTAGGGGTCTGCCAACAAATTATAAGGACTAAGAACAGTGATTTGCTAGTTGAAAAGGATAATAATTTCCTAACAGGGAAACACAGCAACATGCAGATATAGCTGGTTTTCACATGACGTCACTAAAATTCAAACTACAAATTTATTGATCTTCCTGAGATTTTACTTTAATGATGTATAAGAGCAGGTGAAAACTAATATTCATACAAATTTTCGCTCCAAATAGGTTCTTGGTTTTGTGATACACTACGCTTGAATTTCGAAGCTTTTGCTTGACGTGACATTTAAATGACGGTGTCATGATGGTTAAAAAAGTGACTTATTTCGGGGAATTTGGCTATCCGAACAGTTCATGTCTTAAAAAAAGTATTATTTTAACGTTTTCGAGTTCCTCGAGGGATAAATTTACGCTTTTGTAGCAAAACTCAGTGACAGATGTTTCTGTCGGTTTCCGGCCGCCATGTTGGTGCCCATAGGNATATCTTGCATAAGAAAAATTGCTGTGACCAGAATCTTGGCGAGAGTCTTTGCATATTTACTTTCTTTCATTTCCCAGATTCTGGACTTAATCTATTGGACGGTTTTGATTTTTATTTTGATCTAGTTTGAATTGCGTGACACTGAAAACCAGCAATACTTCTTTGCCTACTGGGCAAGACCACTTGATCTATCCTGACTTGAGCTTCAGAGAATTGATTCTGAAAAAGTACTGGCTGATTACATAGCTGAATGAAGGGTTCTGTGGTGTCTTGGAGTTCAGTTATTTGTGAGCAAAAAGTCAAAACAAACATCAACTCATGACATTTACCTTTATCTCTCTCTGGAGCTATTTCTCACATGATCTTGGCCAATGTTCAGAGTGGGAAGAGAACTGCATGCAAAAATGCAAGCAGTGACCCATGTTTGTTAACTGACCTTCATTGCAAGATGATAAATCGCTAAGAATACTCTCCCTTCATAGTGGACAAATTAAAACAATTTTATTTACACACAGTACCACTTTGATTACAACTTTGTCAGTCACTTGTTACAAGCAAACCTAATACTAGTATCCAGAAATTACTGTGGTAAAAGAGTGTCGAAGACTTAAATAAGCATCAAATCCTTAAAATTGTCCATGCAAGGGTATGATAGAGCCACTTATAGAGGAAGGAATTCACTGGATTTACATAACTAAGGTCATAATACATAGGTCAAGGTGGCCGGGAAAAACTTAGCTGGTGTTGGTTGCAGTATATTCCTTCTCACTTCACGTGACATCATGCCCTCTTGACAATTTTGCAAAAACTCAGTGTTTTAATTGTGATAGTGATTCTTACAGTAATAATTACAATATTAAAATAATAACATTATAGGTGTTTATATGCTACTCAACCAAACATTTTTCAGCTGAAACTTCAAAGGTTTCCAAAGACAACAAAAATTACTAGTCTAAAAAATGAGAGACTGATAAAAGGTGTCACATAAAACAAATCCGTTTTGGTTTATCAAATAAATTAATAATGGGGCATCAATTGATGCAAGAGCTGGCGTCATGCCATGAATTTGTCGTTCACATGCCCCATCACCAAGCAGCTATCCCGCAGTACTTTTTCCTGGTGGCGTAGATCTTTCTGGGAAATTCTTTTCTTCTGTTCTTCAAGCATGTATACATAATTGGCATTGATCACTCCACGGGAGTTCTTTCCAGTTCTTCCCATACTGCTCAAGTATTCCTCTCTCTTTCTTGTTTTTTCATGTTCCTTCTCAGCCAATTCATATTTGTATCTTTCCTCATCTGCTCTCTTTTTATCCTGTTGCATTTGCTGGAGAACAAAAAAAAAAATATTCTGATTCATAAAAAGAATAAAATTCCTTGACTCCAAAATATATAGTATCATTTGAGTTGTACGTAAAATTCTCCAGATTCTATTTTTGAATAACCTATCAATTTTGGAACAATCACTCATAAAAAGGATAACAAACGGTGTGTAAGCTCTCTTCCCCTGATAACTTTACCCAACACCAGCCCGAAGAGTCCTGGGAATAAATCCAAAAACTCGAGCTTTGCAAATCAGCCACATTAAAATGCCTTTGGTAAAATTTGATAAGCAGCTGGACAAAATGACAACCAATAAATAAGGCTCGGCGTTTCTTTTTCACACTCTCCTCCAAGATATCAAGGCAACAGAGGAAGATAATGAACAAAAATTCGGGCAATGCTTTAAAACTTATAGATTTGAGTCAGGGATTTGATGATGCGAGTATATATAAATGCGCGTCGGATTTCTGATGTTTCAATTAGTCAAGTGGACCCAGAACAGTCCGTCGTTAAAGCACAGTTTTTTCGAAGTTAACCTAAAATTACTACACTAGTTTTCTGTGGTTGTGTTTCGCAATTACTTAAGTGCCAAATTCCGGCGAAGATTGCCTCTTAGGTTGTGTATATATACACGAAACATTCGTTCAACATGAGACAAATGTGTAGAACTTCCAACCTGCAAAAGCGCGATCCTTGCCAAAGCGGCATGCTTCTTGTCGATAATTCTTTGTTTTCTTAAAGCTTCCTTATGGTATGCTTCAGCCATTTAGCGTATAGATGGATGTATCACCGCTTTCTGGGCGATTCGTGAAGCTATTTAGAGCATGAATACTTTCCGTGTTCCAAATGATTTGTTGAACTTCGGTATCTATGGACGAATGCTGCTCGCAAAGTATTCTGGGATGTGATGGGTTTCCCCTTACAAATGGTTGCGTGAGTTTGTTGGTTTCTACATTTTTTGCGGCAAATGTGATATAACTGTGATGAGATTTGATAATTACAGGAGCCCTGAAAATTATCAATAATGTTGCTCAAATGCAATTTTCTGAAGATAGTGATTATGCTGAATTTCAAAACCTACTTTACTGCAGTTGACTGAAATTAATTCATATTTGCAGACCAAATGAATACCGTGTACATGTATATAGTGTAAATTTTAAAAATGTTTTCCAAGTGTCACACAAATAGATCGAGTGGCTCTGTTCCCACCTCACCGTACTTTATCCTGGCAATTGCCTCGTGCTTTTTGTCAACAATTCTTTGTTTCCGCAAGGCCTCGTTGTGATAAGTTTCTGTCATAACGCTTTTAGGGTGTGGTTGAGCTGATTTCTACACAGAAGATGGCCTATAGCGTCAAGTGCACTTGCCTTTTGCCTTTTCGAAAGATTAATGTTAAAACTAACGAATTGCTTTTTAGTGGCAGAGGTTGAAAAGTATTCTTTAACAAAACTGATTGGCCTCTTTGATGTCATATAATTGAATGAAGCAGAGATGACGTCACAATTAGAATGTCTGAAACTGTTTGTTCCTTGAGAATAAGGAATAGAAGTATAGCTGAGGGAGGGTGGGAGGGGGGTGCATAGAATAGCACACTCCCACTGTGATATTTTTCCTTGTCCTTGGAAATCGGGTTTAACTTTTCGATTCGTAGAGCAATCAGCCGCAAGCTTATTGCATTACTTGATGCATGTTTCCAGGAGCCATCATGTTTCCTTTACCATGCATCAGGCAGATTAAAGCCAATTAGAGAACCACGTGCAGCTTACGGACATGTCAATGAATCAATAGCGACTGTCTTTCTTACCAAGAGCTTCCCTTGCTCAATAACTTGGATTAACTCTCCAAACAAAAAAATGCTCGACGGTAATCTTTTGTGTCTGATTTGCGCAGAATTAATTAAGATTCGCCGATAGCAACAACAGAAAAGTAAACAAGAAAATCCTTGGCGAAATTGTGAAAAAGTTAGAAGTATGCTAAAATCATGGTGACCCGAAAAAGAAAACTATACTATCAAAAATGGCATCTGGAAACCCTAACAGGAAGGGAAATGATAACTTGTGAGCAAAAATTCATAATCTTGTTGAATTAACGCTGGTTAGTTATCGTTCCTACAACTCCCTGTTTAAATTTTATTTTTTTATTTTTTTTATTTTTTTTATTGTATTTTTTTTGTATTTTAGCTTTTTTCCGTTTACTGGAATATAACACTTTATCAAAAAGCCATTCCAATGCATGGGATTTAAATTTTCGTTTTCACTAGCTTTTTACTTGTGTTTTTTGTTGGCTTATACATGTACATTGGCCACAGCGTGAATCGTGAAGGAAACGTGCTTCTTAAAATACTGTCAGCTATTAAAAAAAAAAAAAATCACTAAATTGAGAACGCAGAAGGACTTATTCGTTCGAAAGTTTCTAAAACGAACTATTTACAACGTTATTGTCTTCTGTTTAGCTTCACAAGTACTGTCTAAAGCTAAATGTTTTTGCAAAAATCGCTAACCGCTAGATTAAATTCTTACCGCCTGAAACCTCAATCGCCCGAGCGCCTCTTGTTTTCTGTCTATAACACGCTGCTTCCGCTGAGCTTCAAGATGATAAGCAATCATTTTTCGGCTCCCGATTGCCTTCCCGTAGGACTTAAGTAGAAAATGTGGGCACTGTAAAGTAGCTTTTATTAATGCGACGCCTTGAACAGGTTACTTACAAAAACGTTAAGGCTCTGCCTGTTAAGGTCTCGTGGGACGTGCCAGCCATAGAAAGAATACCGCGCCGCGCTAATAAACGAGATTAAAGGCTTCTCTCTAAGGCGTAGAATGAAAACTTTTGTTTACAAAAACCCGATTGAAAAATACATTAGACAAAGCACTTAGTTTGCATACAAACAAGCCCTTTGTGCTTCTCTAAGAGCTCATGTACATTAAATCACGAAGTTGATGTTTTTAGTGTAAAAATACACACCCGCGAGTGGCAGGAGAAAAAGTTGAATCCTTACACACAAATTTTTTGGGAGAAATTAAAATGATTCAAATATTTTTGTGTATAAACACATTGTATAATGAACTCGCTTGATATGTTTACATTACGCTAGAAAGCCATTGACTTGTTCACAAACCAAGCAATGGCCTCCCAAGAGAGAAAGCCCTTAAAATAATTACTTATGGAACAATCGAGTGCAAACAAAGTGTTAACAAGACCTGTCCGTGACTTCTGAAGTCAAAGATCTGGGATTTTGCAATCCTTTCGCCAATTACAAAAGGTTCGAAAACGCGATCTTTTAAGCGCTGCTGTACATGATTAAACGAATGTTTTTGGCCTGATAATGTATCACGAGGCTTACCACCAAGAGGCACAGAGAAGACAGAGAGTTATTGACAGAAAACACCTTGCTTTGGAGCGGCTTAAAGAACAATACACCCGTCAGGTGAGTTAAGATCTCGTTTGAAAATTTCGCAGTATGGTAACCTTGCTTATCAAGAGAAAATTCGGTGTTGAAACCTGGCGTCACTGACGATTTTTAATTTCCCGAAGACTTCATAGCGGCAAACTTGTTCGCTATGAACGAGTCTCAAAAGCCATGCAATTACAAAGAAAAGCGTGATTACTTTAATATGTTTACCAAACAAGTACTATACAAGGAAAACAAATTTGATCAGTTCACAAAAGAAGACTGCCGATAAAGCCATAGCTGAATGCTACTGACGGCCAAGTACAAATTTTCTGGGATTGCAACTAAAACATTTATTGCATATTCTTACAGTGTACAGTCACAGTGCAGTAAGTCTTAACAATCAACAAATCGGTAGCCAAGGACAACGCTGTCTGAAAGATTGGTGTCATTTTCATGGCATTTTTCTAGAAATAAGTCTCGAAAGGAAAAAATTCGACCATCCGTCAGTTAAATGGAGAAAAAAAAGAATTGTCAATGTTCTTGGAGGACTGAAAGAACCTTGACAATTTTCCTTTACAGCTTCAGGAACTAGGCAAGAATCAAAAGACAAAAGAAAAACAAACCGGGAAAGACGAGAGGACTGGAACTAGAGCTGGGACACGCTCTGGCACGCGTTCGCAAACGCGCGCCACCACGCGCGAGGTGCACTCGCGTGACACCCTCTGGCTTCCAGACATTTGTCAAACCACAACTGGCAGAACGTACTACCAGCTGTTTCCGCCAAAACCGAAGCCACTGCACCAATGGCGTGACTTGAAGAACCGCATTAGACACGACTACAACCTGGTGCCACTACCATATAAGGAAGAGGACGTGGTCAAAAGATAGCTTTTCTGTATTTTTTTATTAAGAAGACATAAAACAGTTTTGTTTCTCAATAAAAAATATAATGATATTTTCACAAGACGGTTTTTCACATTACAATGAGTAACACAACAAATGACATGTATAGGAAAAGAAATATGTCAATTCTCTCATGTAAGGCACTTCTCACAACTGAAAGTACATCAGTATTTCACTTTCTATAGCATCTTCTTGCACAGCGATTTAGCAACAGAATTATTTATGTCCTCTGTATGACCTCTCAACCTTGATCCCAGGCTCTCTACTTTGCCTCCCTTGTTGTCCCAAAGGAGGAGAGAGCCTGGGATTAAGGTTGATGACCTCTGAGTCAATAAAGCAGTTGGAGAAACAAGGATTACTTTTCAGAAAGTTCTTTGAGGGGTGGGGTGGATGTACACAGGCTAGATCAAAGTTGATGAAGTAAACTATGCCATTTCGATCTTGAAGTCTTGCTAGGATTCTGTACACTGGATAAATTAAACAAGCGAAGGACTAGTCCAGCCAAAATTCTCTGTTTGTGATCATCTTCCACGACCTGAGGGAAAAAAAGTATACAATTTTAAAATTATACCACAAAGTATGTTTCACAACAAGTATTTTTGCACATATCATTTTTAACTTTTTCTGCACTAACTTCGATATCAGTAACCCATATCAGAAAAGCAAAAAAGAAAAAAGAAAAAAATGTACAGATTGGTCATTGCACTTGATTTGGAGATAAACTGTATTTCTAACTGCTTACAATGGTTAAAGTGATTTGGGTGGCAACAATGCTCAGAATGAACAAATAAACAGAACAATTCGGTGTTGAACTCTGATTCCATTAAACAAATTTTCCACCCTCTCAGAAGGATATTTGCAAGTCCTGAGCAACCGCATATTTGAGAAATTGGATTGCATGTACACAGAAAAAGTTGAAAAAAACAAAACAATAAAAACATCTGAAAATTTGGTTACAATGTGTAAATGAATAATTTCAATATAAATACCTCTAAATCCTCCGCCACCTCCTCTGGAGCCCCCTCTGAAACCTCTTCCTCCTCCTCCACCTCTACCTCCTCCACGGAAGCCACCACCACCTCTGCCTCCTCCTCCACGTCCAAAACCTCTACCACCCCCTCGGCCACCCCTGCCTCCTCCTGAAATAGTACAATGAATGGGTAAAGCTCTATACTACTATACTTACTATATCACCTACAATTTCCCCTCATTTCTATTTCTCCATAATGAAGAGTAGCTTCAAATGTCAGATATCTCCTGCCCTGTAATGCTGAGAGCATGAGACGACAACCAATTTGGGGTAAATGCAAGTTGTGGGTACGTCTCAAAATTATTTTCTTTAAAATATTTCTACTCTACAATGTTTAACGACCACTGGTACTACACTTTAGTCAAAGTTAGCTGAGCACATGTACGCAAGAAAACAGCTCAATGAAATTTTTTTAAAAAGGTTTGCAGCCTCAGATTGAAACAGATTTATTTGATGTAAGAAAGGTAATTCCATATACATATTTGAGAAGTCCATCTTATTATAATATTATTTATTTATTTATTTATTTATTTTTTCAAATTATATACATACCTCTGCCTCTGCCTCCAACACCCCCTGGGGGTCCTAGAAAGTAGAGAATAGAAATTAAATCTCTTTCCACACTTGTGCACTTTCATTTGTAATGAGCATTTTAGTGCTGACAGCAAGTCAAGAACCATATGAAAATGATGGCGTGAAACCTTTTGAAGCATTTTGGATAATTAATGAACATGAACAAAAACAGGCAAAGACCTAATATCACCATTAAAACAAACTACGAAGCTTCTGAAAACAAACAACAACAACAACCTAAACTGTAAACCCAACATAAATCAAAGTGCTCTATGAGCAAACCCATGGATTTCCCAGTGAACTTATGATGATTGACATGAGTTAACCTTTGTGTGATACAGAATTACTCTTTTCATAGACAAAAAAACCGGTCTGCATTGCATATAAGAAAACACATTCAAGCAACAGAAGTTCTCACACTTGTTAATAATTTAACATTCATTAAAATTCAACCATTTAAACAAAGAAAATAATGACATCATGACAGTGTTTGGATATCTGATTTAATAAGCATGTTTTTTATTTAGTTTTAGTTTTGATTTAAAAGATAAATATAAAAAACTCAAGATTGTGTTTGACCAAATTTCCAAACACATTGAAGTCTGTCAAAAACACGCTATTGCATGTTGTTTTTTTCAACCCTGTTCCTGCTGTTCGGAAATGATGTCAAGCATGGTCTTTCGTGTTTGATGTAACTTAGAACAAAGAGTTCTAAGTTAGGAACAGAAACAGAAACACCATGCCATACATATGGTAGCCTCACAGATAATATTACCTTTCTGTCCAGGTGGTTTAGGGAGAAATCTGGCCAATGGTAACAACTTCATAGGATCAATGAAGAACTAGAAAAGAGCAGAAACCAGAAAACTAGTTTGTACTTTCATATGAGACCATATTTCCCAGTCAGCAAATTGGAAATGATGATGGTGATGACATTCAAGTAAGGACAGCTTTTGACAATTTTTATCAAACACAAAATGACCTAGAGTCGCCTGTTTTACTCAAAAGAACACTGAAAAAACAATGTTTGCTTCTTTACTTGATCAATATGTGATCAATGTGACTGGGCTCTACTAGAACTCACACAACTGCAGGGCTGCAAATAACAGTCGGTCATAGGACTTTGGCTGACCAAAATTTGCTTGTTCCTGACAAAATCCCAACGGTGGTTGGACATGATGTCTGGACAATTTTTTTAATGTAATTCATTTTACAGTAAGAATGAGTAAAAATCTACCTTGAGTAAATCTTATTTTTTTTTGGTGATGTCTTAAGTGCAATTTGTTTTGTCTGACCGAGATGGTGTCTTAGTAAGACATACGTCCTTTCAAAACAAAAAATTATTTGTAGCGCTGCAACTGCATTACTACTTTAACACAGTCAAACCCCTTTAAAAGGCCACCCTCTGAGTAATGGGAGGTGGCCACTTAATAGGGGTTTGTGCGTTTTGAATACTTTTTATATTGGGTTAATTGCTTAATGAACATAGAATCACGTCAAGACAATCATAATGAACGTGTGTTTATCAGTAGTCAAATTATCTTCTTTTCCAAAAGAAAGCCAAACTATGTGTATTAAATGTTTGGTGGCTGCTTAAAAGCGGTAAGGACAAGAGAACTCCCTGGTTGGGACAACCATAAGGTGGCTGCAGCGGCTTAATAGAGGTGGCTGGGTTTTATTTACAGTATTTTACAGACACCAAATTAATAATAAGGGGTGACCACTTGAGAGGTGGCTACTTAATAGGGATTCAACTGTAGCATGTTATATTTTTAAACTTATTCTTTTTATGTTTACCTTTTGATCTCTGTTAAATGAAGATGCTTTCATATCTGTGTTTATCTTCACTGAAAAATACTGTGTATAAAGTATGATGTTAAGGAAATAAACTTAAGGTCATTCGCCAGTATTGCATTGCGCACACCTACTGCGCATAATTTCGCGTGTGATTAGCGCGCACACATTAAAAAATGGCGGCTTTTTGTTTACACCTGGATCTCGCCATAGAGGTTAATTGTCATTTTCTCGCAAACGAGTATGGTGACCTATCATTTTTTTCTGTTGTTTTGAATTGAGTAATAAATTTCTCTGTGTAAAATAAATACGGACCAATTCTCAGTGTAGGATAAAAAACAATCGTCGGAAATGTGAATTTAGCAAGCAATCGTGACTACAATCATGATGCTATTATAAGGATTTATATGGGTATAAACAAAGTGCTGTTGCTCCAAAACGAACATGGGGCCCCCTCATTTTTATTTGAAAATTTAATTTCCTATAATATAAACAATCAATAGGCAAAGTTTCACAAAAATCTCAGTGCAGGTTCTATTTCAGTGGAATGACCTTAAATTAATAAAATAAACTTCACAACCAATAAAACCTACCATCCCTGCCACTCTTAAGTTAAACATTATGATAATTTAGTTAGTCTAAAAATTTGATGGTTTGTAAAAATGTTATTAATTTTATCCCCAATAGATGATGCTATGTTTTGAATGCCATCAATCTTACACTCACTTAATCTTTCATCTTGAATACAACTGTACAATACACAATATGAGCTACCGTAAAGCCAGAACAAAATTTAATGTGGCATAATTTGTTTCATGTCAATCACACTTCTTCGTTTAGGAGACTAAAGCTAATTAACTTAAACAAATCTTGTACAATGATCAACATGTCATCACAAATGAACTGGCCAGTACACAGGGTTGTCATTAAGTTTTGAGTCACCTGTAGCCTTGTTAGACTCCACACCCATAGCAAATTTGTCACTTTGTGGGCGAATCGTATCAACAACAGGCAGTTTCACCTGTAGCATCAAGGGCTAATCAAGCATACTCAGCCATAACAGGTGTTACAGGTTACAGCCCTTAATGACAGCTCTGAGTATATAATATATTGTCTTCTTACTCAACCAAGGATACAAAATCTGTCATTGGACCAAATATGTCATCTACTTTACCAATCTGTGACTTGTTTTCTAAGTAAACTGGAGCATTGAAGTAAGGAATCTTCTCATTTGTACATTTACACACCAGGTCTCCTTCACAAGGATGAAGGACATGGCCCAGCTCTAAAAGATGCAAAAAAAAAGTTACAAAAGTCAGTTTTGTATCTCTTGTGCCTATATTACCCCACTAAAGAACATCTTCTGAAGAAATATTAAACACTAATCTTGGAGTTTGTAACTTTCAGGAACATGTGGTTATATTAGGAATGCTGTTAAAACTGGGTAATAAAGATCTCACGAGGTGACTTTTCATTTCGATACAAATCAAAGTCGATTCAATACACATCACATGTCAATTTGATACACATCTATAGTTCTTTTCATACAACTTCCATCTACCTGAAGTAGTTTTGCTACAGAAAATTTACACTGTAAACTTTAATAAGCTTAATAAATAACAATAAACCTTTAACATCAGACTATAGCAAAAAATTACAATTCAAACATGACATTTTCAGACTGCACACTACGTAGAAGTAAAGAGCACTCAAGTCAGTCTGTTCATGGTCAGCTCTCAATAATGGAAACAGGAATACCGTATAAGTCAAAAAAGTCTTCAGTCTTCAGTCTGCAACCTTCAGTCTTGAGTCTGCAGTCTTGAGTCTGCAGTCTTGAGTCTGCAGTCTTGAGTCTGCAGTCTTCGGTCTGCAGTTTTCAGTCTTCAGTCTTCAGTCTGCAGTCTACAGTGTGCAGTCTTCATTCTGCAGTTTTCAGTCTTCAGACTTCAGTCTTCAGCCTTCAGTCTATCCCATTTCATACACCATTCCATGTTAGAGTCTTGATGTGACCATGTTTTCAGGCATGGGTCAGCTTGGTGTGAGTTCTATGCCAGTCTCTGTATAAATCTCTATATTTGATGCTATTATCAGAGTCACACCAGTGACATGAAATGGCTACTTGACATGGTATTCCCGACAAAACTGGAGGGGAAGATTGCTATATAGCCTCCTACTAATTACTATACACCGGCGCATGCATAATATTTCGTCTCTGTTACAGTTGCGTATGAAGAATAGTACAAGAGAATCTGTACAGAAATCCCATCAACTAGAGAAGAATTCTGTCGCTTTACAATCAACAAATCGATGTTCAATAATCTCTTTAATATCATCATCAATACAACAATTGTTTATAAAACAACAAAATTCGACATTCTACCAACTGTTTTACACTACTATCCAAGATCCCCGGTGGGTAATGGGCCGGAATGAAGTAAATCAAGTAAGTTGTAGAGCGATTCAAAAGCTTACCTGTAACAGATTCTGGAGGGCCGAAGTCTCTTTGCTGGAAACCACCTCTTCCACCTCTTCCAAAACCACGACCCCCTCCGCGGCCACCTCGGCCACCGCCACGACCACCGCGGCCACCGCCACGATCACCACCTCCACGGCCGCCACCTCGTCCACGGAAAGACATGAATACCGAACAATCGATCGTCAAGAAGATCTAAAAGTTACGATCGACGTTTGTTGTTGTATTTTGACCGCGTGGTTGCAACAAAAGCGAGGTGGTGGCTTAGTAACCATTCACTGCCCCTTGAAGGCTAGGCTACTAAGCTCAGATAACTAGTTTCCAGGTTCTTGTTAAAATTGCGTCGTTCCAAACTACTCCCCAAGGTCTTCTCTTCTCTTTAAAATAGAGCCTCAATAGACCTCTTTAGCTTAGGCGGTTTGTTTTCCCATTTTACACCACGTGATATCCTCCAGAGAGAATTTCTTTTTATCCATCTGAAAATTATTCATTGATAGGTGGGGGGGGGGGAAGGGGGGGGGGGGCTTGTCACGAAGTCACGATAGTAAATTTTCGATTTCACGAATCACAAAACAAAAAAATTTACTTTCCACGATTCTCGAACATGTGCACGAAACTGTAATCAAAATTTGTAGAAAAAAGCGTATTCTTTAACTTTACCAATAATTTACAGCTGTTGGAAAGGTGATATTTGAAGTCTTAATTTGTTGGTTTTACTTTAAGAGAACTCTTGAGAGAAATATCGGACTTGGACAGCTCTTCCACAGCGAGTTGTTACGGCTCTTAAGAAGGTCAGAGTATCGTCGTCGTTGTCACTTTCCACGGCATCGTCAGGCCCACTGTATGTGTCATACTGCACATCATCTTCTGGGACTTCGGGGGCTTCAGACACTTCAGGATGAGGGAAGGTGACTTCTTGCTCTTGCTCTTCTTGTTCGTCGACGATTGGTGGAACAGCTGGCTGATACTGTGCAGGAGGTTCAAGGTGGATCTTGTCCTTTGGGTAAGCAGAATCTGCTGGACGATACATATTCAAAGGCAAAGTGCCAGCCTTGAACTTCGTTGTTTCTTGCCTCACAGTTCTCTGTCAAACGAACTTGCCATGCTGAACTGCCCATTCTCTCATGATCTGCTCTTGGGTAGAATTTAAGTGCCTTGTTTTGCCAAGATGCGAAAGTTTGGAAATGTCTTTCAGTGGAATTGAACTGTCTGGAATTGGATAGTAGGATGTTGGCTGAGTGAAATAATAGGCTGCCCAGCTTGTGATCCTTTTGATGCTTTCGTACACAGTGTTTCCCAGATTACGGGAGTAGTTAAGAGATGTGGGGCATTGATCCTTGAAATGACCAACGGCGTGCAGATTTTCCACGGGTTGTCAGACAAGCATGAAGATCAACGTGGATGTCTTTGTTGGTAGACTGGGAGTCAATCATCGTTTGTACAGTACTCAAAGTTCCCTTTAGAAATCGTTTGAGATCACCGACTTCTTGCAGAGCTTCAGCTACGAATTCAACTTTAGACATTTACGATTTATTTCTTATCTATTTACGATTCACAGCCAAGGACTTTTGCATTTCACGCCTCACGGAATACACTTCAATCACGATTCAAGGAACAGTTTTTTATCGGACTGACGATTCACAGAGCACAAAAAAACCGGATCACGGCGTCACGAAAATACCCTTGCCCCCCCTCTTGATATACATGCGACTATTTAAAAATTTGAAAGCAAGAATTCTCAAGAGTGTCATCACGTGGTCTGCAATGGGAAATCAAACCGCCCAAGCTAAAGAGGTCTATAGAACTGTGTGCGAACTGTAAGCTTACACTGGGAAAGAGGCTCGCAGGACACAAGCAAAGGAAATCGAAGGGTTTGTTTTAAAACATTAACAATTGTGCCTCTCCAACCAGACCTCACGATCAAGCTGAATCTTTTTCCCATGAGCTTCTGAAGCAGCCTGTTGGGACGCCAGAGGTAGGGGGCCTTAGACCTCAGTTTTTGAGACTGGAGGAGACTTAAGGTCCCAGTTTTTGAGATTTGGAGAGGGTCTTAGGTCTTGGGTACGAAAGGACGCGGGAGTTTATCATATGCCGCGCCCCAACGCATGCCCTTCCCTATCCCGTGTTGTAAATTCCCCGATTGGTTATGACCACTGATGTCAAATTCGCGCCCAGCCGGGCGCATCAACGAGTTAAATTTGACCGATATACAATCGCCTCGTTTGATACATTTTATCTTCACAAATTAAAGGAAGGAATGATCTTGACTGATTGAGAGAACTGATCCAAGTCAGGAGGGAGCATTTGACCAGTTTTGGTCCATCCAAGCTAAGAAAGTCTTTTGGAGACCAACAATGGAGTCATTGCTCCTCAGGGTGGCCTCCAGAGTCTGGATACCTTCAAATCATTTGGAGCCTGTTCCACCCTAAAATGGCTACCATAAGAGGCCTTCCACTGGAAAGGTTTGTCAGAACGAAGTGGCACGGGCACCCCTTAGGCCCCTACTTATAGGGTCGAACCACTCCCACAAAACAAGAGTCTGGTAAGGAATTACTTTCAAACACATTGCCGATGATCATCCTCCCCCAATTTAATCGGTGGGATACCCATCATTGGGGGAGGGAGAGTTATTCATTCAACAATCTCTCCCGCCCCCCACCCTCCCCCCCAAGAAAAAATACAAGGGTTTTTACCTCAGGAGTAAGCGACGGGAGAAAATGGCTGACATTCAGGCCATCCTGCAAACGTTTTGAGTTTTCTGATGTTCAATTGCTTTTCAATCAGATTTCCTCGATAAAAACAGTCCTTAGATGATCGAGGTTATCGTTTTTAATACTTCCTTCCCATGTGGACAGGATGAGGAATCCACTAATTCAACTTTACAGTTTTTGAACAACCAGACCAAACACTACAGTCTCTCTCATAAAGTATTTATTATAAAATATCACCTATTGGAAGCATAATGTACACAAAGTATATATTCCAATAATATGCATATAAAGGTTTTTTGTCTTTCGAGTTGCATACGTGAAACGAGTTGCAAACCGGACTAAATTATCACTAAGAAAAACACCTACTTTACGCAATAAAACTCGCTATTTTGGCCTTTAAAGCATTTATAAGTCTCTATATTTAGTCCGTTGTTTGCCGTGTTTCAGTGTTACCCATGTTATTATTGTACAAGTACAATAATACTAATAATAGTCTTGTTCATAAAGAATGGACTAGCAATTTTCGATAGTTTACTACGGAGGACTAAGAAGCAAGCTTCTCGTAATTTTAGCTATAATTTTGACGAATTTCATAGTTTACTAATTCGCGAAGCGTACAATTTCAACATAATCAGATAAGATGATGCCAGCAGGCAAATATGAATATGTCTAATAAGATAGCTCTACGGAGAGAGTAGAATCTCTAGTTGGTGACTGGTTAGTCTTGAATTTTCGTGCTAATTATCAAACCAATCAGAAGCACTGAACGAATCTGCGTGGAGCCAGGTGCTCATATGAAATTTTGAAGTCGATTGAATAAAGACATCTCATGTCTGCTTTCTCTGACTCGGAAAAGTATTAAGAAAATAACAGCTTCTATTGTTTGAAAATACTATGGATCAAGGTAGTTTCAGTTGCATTTCTCCTAGCATACACCACTCGATTTTCCGACCCATAACAGAACATCAAACTAAATAGAGGATTAGCCGAAGTTATAAACGAAGACCTTCCGAAGATCACTGACTGTAGTCGGATCTTTTCCGAAGATCTTCCGGAACTTGACGAGGACGTCCATACAGCGGACTTTCTTACTCTAAGGGAGGGGCGTTTTCCTTCTCCTCTACATGTATCGTATGGTCGCAAACTTAATCATATTTATACCTTCTATAACAGGAAGGAAGGTCACCGATGTCGGTTTTACTCGTAGCGTCTACACGCAGTGTAGATTTGTATGAATTTCATCTTTCTTCTACCCCAACTCGAGAATAGAAGGCCACTCTTTTTTCCTATTATTTTTTTACATAAATAAATGCTATAACCGCGATTCACCACGATGTTATACAGTGTCAACCTCTTTTTAAATCTCCAGCTAACTAACAGTCGGGGGATGAAGTACCAGTTGAGCCCGCAGTCTTTGCTACCATAGTTGTCCCAGCGACATAAAGAATCGGAGACTCCTCTGGTTCGTCAGTGAAAATTTACCGCAAACGGCACTTGTTCCCCCGACTGTTTCATTAGAAGGGTTTCATTACCGAACACTTTCTTATACCACTCGACAGCTAACAAAGAATTTTCTACCACAAAATTGCTACACTAACGTTTCTTGCTCCAGGAAGTCCTTTTGGCTGCTGTTCTGTTGAGTGAGAGACTCCCATTGGAACCAATTTTCCCGTTGCCAGTCTGACAGATTGAAAGTCCGAGAATCGAAAGTTTGTCTTCGAGTGTACTCGTCGTCTTCCCGAGCTAACTCGACATCGACTTCAGTTTGAAAGCTCGTCCATTCGGTTATCGTCGGTCCCTCGTCCATCACATAAGTTCGGCCCGTTATCGGCGACGAAGAGCTAGATTCCGCAGATGCAAAAGCAGTAGATCCCGAAGGAGAAGAAGGAGGCGTGGAATAGTTTGAATATGACACCGAAGGCGACCTTGAAGACAGAGCAGGTGATGGAGGCTGCTCGAGGGCGGAGCCGTCGTATCTGCACAACGAGCGCGCCAACGGTGGCGTCTTGCGCTTGGTTAGTTTGTAATTAGAATTGTAAGTGACTGGCGACAAGTTATCGTCCGCGGGTGAAGATAACTGACGGCCGAACGTGTGCTCGCGATAATGTCTTGAGTCTTCTTGATTAAAAGAGTAACTACGTATAGGAAATACCGAACCGTAATTTGTTTTGTCGCTACTGCTGCGTGTTATTGAATGTGGTGGTGGCTGTCTCGTGCGCCAGTTCGTGTCATCGAGTGGGCGCGATCCATGCGCGTGCAACAAGCGCCTTGCGGAACGTTCTGCCGCTCCCGCGGATTGTACACGCCCTCTTATTGATGTCTCTGTTTTGTCTGCTCCTTCAAAAGCGAAAGGGTCATCTTCCAAATCAGAGCTGTGTAGAGAGATGAAAAAAATGGAAGAATACAGGTTATTTTGTACTACCTTAAGTACTGTAAGTACTTTACAGTGACAACAAAGTACTTGCCTAAAATATCGCTTTGACCAATTTTGGATCACATTATTGCAATGTTTCGATATCCAGGATATTTTGATTGGATTCCCATTGCCGTACCAACTATAAAGTTACGAAGTCTAAGCTATTCTCTTAACCTGAACAATTCTAAATTGCACATTGTATCCAGATGTTGTGCGAAGGCCACTGCGTACCATCGACATGCGCAGCTTATTTTACTACAACTGATTTTTATTGTACGCACGCTAAAACGAGCATAAGTCAAATGCTGTTAAAATGGCAAAACCTAAAACCAAACAAAGAAAAGTGGAATTAAAATATTTCGCTTAGATAGTCAAGAATCGCTCATCAATAATGGACGCGCATAGGCTGTAATATGCGTAACGTCAAGCTATAACTTGCATTTCTTCGTTGTTGTGCGTTTTACTGGCCTAGCTGTTAACAAAGAATTAAGTGAGCAAAAAAACTATATCAGTAGCGAGTTGCTATCATCAAGATATTTAATATCATAAGGATGTTTACCTGGCACCGTGAGTTCGTAACAACTTCCTTCTCAAAATGTAATCGACCATTTCAGGTTCACTTTCCAGAAGTTGAAGGAGAGCGTCGTGATGCATTTCCGCTGAGATCTGAAAGAACGCAAAAGAGCTTAAATAAGAAAATTAACTCCAGATCTTTTGTACAATATATGTTTCGCGTAATTGAAGAAACAGTTCTTAATCAAATTTGAATTTCTTGGGATGCTCTGGCAAGAACAGCGTTTACAAGGATAACCTGTGTAGACGGAGAACAGGAAAGCAAATGCGCCTCATGCTGATGTCTTCTTCCGCGTATCTACATAAGGTGGTGGGGGTGGGGTGGGGTCGTACAAAGGGATATACCCATCACTGCAGACTAGAGATGGGCGCATTGAGCCTAGCTCAGGCTAAGTAGTTCCCGGTATTCTACTTGCACATCACGCTTACTCGACAAAACGAGGACCCTACGTACCAAACTAAGGCATGTTTCTTTTCTCCTTCAAACGAAAAAGATCACAGTCAAAGCTCACTTTCCCGCGTATTATAAGCGCATAGAAATCTTGTGGCGCTGATGGTTCAAACTCTCATTTTGTGAGTCGCACAAAGCATAGCTTCACACTTCTACCAAGAAAAGTAACAATACAAATATTTCTACCTCGAACAACTGGCTGTGATGTTCAATCATGTCTTGTACAACGTCTATAATTTCTCTCCTTTCGTCCGCACGAGCCTTGTCTTCTACTAGAAAGTCGTGATGCTGTCCTTTAACCTGGGTGAAGAAAGAAACCGAGAATTGTTATCAGTTCTTTATTTCAGAAATAGAGAACACACAAGATTACCGGAACATTTTCCATTTTGGGTGGGTCACTTTTTCACTTCTCACGAATATTTTATTTTCTGCAACAGGCGTGTCAATATTACAGATTCGTTACGACCCCTTTACTCGTTTTGTAATAGAATGATCACTTATAATAATTTTTTTCCCTGAATTGAATGGGACGGAGTGGAGAGGTCCTGATTGCTCAGGGGAGGCTATGTAAACACGGAAAAAGTACTCTATTGCTTTTATAAAATATTTCTAAAAATACGAGAGTCTGAAACGTCACAACCGTGTTTACATACTCTCATCTTGTACAAACACACCTGTCGACCAATGAAAGCCCGCGTAGTATCTCGGATATTTCATAAATCGTTGTTGGCAATGAACCCTGAATATTGTGTAACTAGTTCTCATCGTACCTTGTGCAAAATATTTGGTCCAATTATGATTGCTAGGTTTTGGGAAGTCATTTTGTTTCCAGGAATCTGAAAGAAAAGTGAACGAAGAACATTTTAGCCAGGCGTTAAATTAGTTAGTTTCCAATCCTTTCGGTTGGCTAGCCCGGGGCAAAAGGGCAAAATGGCGGCGGCTATCGACGGATCTTCGCTGAATCTAAGCTGCCAACGTAGACGGTCCTCCGCTTGTTGATCCACGCCAAAGAAAAATACTTTTCAGCGGGGTGAAACTACAGGCGGAAATCCGTTTGCATTTGTGGGTTTAAGCCTTCATCTTTTTGCAGCTTTTTGGAATCGTTAATGCTTAAATGTGAAGGTAATTACATAAGCTAAGCCCAGCCAGTATAAGCTTACAGTTCCATTAGCTCATTACAGCTTAGATGATTCTGTCATCCTTTACGTAATCTTTAAGCTTATCTTTTAAACAAAAGAATCCTTTGCAGTAATTTTCTGGCAGATCTTCTGGCAAATAAATCAAGCAAAATTAAAAACAAATATTATAATTTGAAGTAAAAACTTACTTCCTTCCCTTTGCCATCAACGGTATCTGCTGCACATTGTGCTACTTCAGCCAGAAATTCCAAGAGTACTTTTAATGTGTCCCTGTTAGGAATTGGCAGCAAGCAACATAGCAGACGGAGAGCTGTTATCTGTATATTTGGATCGCCAAAGGCTAAAAAGAAATAAGTCACACAATACTTTTTATTAACCTTCTTCCAAAGCTAGACCTAGTTCACACTAGTGACATAACAACATAACGACATAAGGAAGTTGTTATGTCATTATGTTTGCACTGTGAATATCCTGACATAATGACATAAAAGCAACATAACAGCATGAATATAACAATGTAAGGAAAAACCTCTGCTATTTTCCTACTTTTTTTCTCGAAAAACAAAGCGCAAAATCAATAAAAAAAATTATCAAATGGTGTTTTCATGTCAAAGCAAGTCAATCTTGCAAAAAATTGAAAGTTTGCCTAAAGAGCAATATATGCCTTTTTCCACAAAGTCTTTCAAGTACTTGCTAACCTCCTATACAGTCATTAAGTAGATCATTAAAGACCAGTAGCAATATATTTTTTGGAGGAAGACCATGATAACCACCTATTATTATATGGGTAGCTCCATGAGCGGGCAAGATGAACCAAATTCTGCAATGTGATTGGCCACCCGAGGGCCAAGATGGTGCTATCTTGCCCACTCGTGACTACCTGCTGTGTCCGGCAAGAAAAATTTCCCGAAAGGCAATATCCTACATAATAAATCCTCTGTTGACCAAGCTAACCAAGCTTGTTCGATCAAGATGGTTGGATAGTAGCCTCTTTCTTTTTATGCGTGTTTCTGGACCTGGACTCTGTCTTGATCCATAAACATGCCAGAAAAAGAAGAACTTGACCAATATCCATTCAAGCTTGGTCAACAACCCATATATATTTTCCTTCTATCAGTCTGTACAGACTGATAGAAGATTATATCTTGTAATTTTTTAATTTCAATTTTCTTTCATTTAAAGTTATTTTTCTTGGTAAATTAGCATAATCTTGCTAGAGNTTTTTTGGGAGTTTATGGACCTTGACTCTGTCTCAGGCCATAAATATGCAAAAAGAGAGAAATTGGCCAGTATCCAGCCATCCTGACCTCATGCTAGGTCAATAACCCATATAAATACACAGTTTCTCTATAATTATTACAAAGTAGCTTACTTTGTGTTTCTAAGAAGGCAGAGTACAAGTCTCGAGTAAGTAGTGGCTCTGGAAGGTCCCGGAAGTATTCCTTGAATAATGCTGCTACATCATGTGGGTTGTCTTCTTCTGTGAACTTTGTCTTCTCTCCAGAATCAAACTGATCTCTCATCTGGTATTAAAAAAAATTGTGGTTTGCCTTGATTGAAATTAAAATTCTTGTTTTTATACAAAAGGTGGACTGATTACAAACTGACGTAGAATTAACACATCAAGAAAACAAACAAACAAACTACATTACTTGTTTCATTCGCTTCTTTGAACCTCCAACTCTAAAAATTCCAAGAACATGCAGACCTACAAAACAAAACAGCTTCCATGTTATGCATAGAACACTAACAGATCAAATAAGTTGTCGTCCCTGCCACTTTATCCCTGCTTTCCCACTACAGTTATTTTGACAACAAAGTATGGTTGCAATGTATAATGAATCAATGCAAGCGTTTACCAAAATTCTCTACCAAAATTCTTATTTTGGTCTGAAACTTTTAACCACTTTGATTCTTAATCTTTTCCCAGAAAATAGCAATTAATTAGTTAATTACAGATGCCTGTTTCTGACTTTTATCTCAGGAGGCTGATCATATATCAACTAGCAACATATAACATAAGCAAGGTATTTTGATTTGCAATAATGTATTGACTGTGCAACATTGTCACTATGCTGTTTTGTGCACCAAGCCTGTCTATAGGATAGATAGTTAACACTGATATGTTAATTTTACAGACTGGCCATACCATATGATTGAAGATGTTCAATTGCTTGTAAGACGATTGGTGGAACTTGAGGCGGTGAGGGACTGAGCATTGACTGTTTGTCCATCAAACAAGATGCAGAGGCAGACGATGACAGAAGTGTCAGTGCCTCAATAAGTCGAGATTTCCAACTCGTTGATTCTAAAGGTTGGTCTTTATTTGAGGAAGTCTTGTTATCTGTATTTGGACTTGAATTCTCCACAGATGATCTTGAACTCTGTGATAGACTTGATCCTGATGAATGCCGTCTGACTCTAGGCGAGTCATCAGGTGCCTCTGGAGTTCCAGCAGAGGTTGTTGATGATATTGATGGTGTGCCTTCTTTAAGATTCTTTTGAGGTTTTTTAGGTTCAATAGAATCTGGGGTGCCTTGTGCTGTGACAGCCTTGTGTAGAGGTATTGCAAATACACCATTTTCTGAAAAAATGTTGATAGGCATTTAGTCAGTAAGCTGATAAACAACAGGGAATGAAATGATAGTGACTGAAGCAAAGGAAAGAACAGGGACACTTATTATTGTTTAATAGGTCATTTCTGAGTTGCATTTTGCCTCTGCGTTGAAAGGAGTCGTTGTAAAAAACCATTCATCTGAAAATGTGTCTCCCCTACAGGTTCATTTTCATACAAATCAAACTCATTTTCATATGAAAGGTCATTTTCAAACATAGGCACGAGGTATTTGGAAATGGCCTATTATTCCCCACAATGGATGAGGAAGGTGGTATATATTTACCTAGCCACGAAAGCTCAAGGTAAAAGAACGTAGTGGTATATCAAGAAAATATTCTCTTGCTGAAGATACTCTTCATATTCTCATCAGTGGCCTCATGGTTAGTGTGCTAGTGTCTCTGGATCACGTGGTCAGGTTCGAGCCCTGGCCAGGGACATTGTGTTGTGTTCTTGCGCAAGACACTTTACTCTCACAGTGCCTCTCTCCACCCAGGAGTATAAATGGGTACCTGCAAACTTAATGCTCGGGGTAACCCTGCGATAGACTAACATCTTATCTAGGGGGGAAATAGAAATAATTCGTGCTATAAAAACAGGGATAAGCCCCGGCATGATGGGCCACTTGGCTTGTATGCAGACTTAACCCTCATCTCACTACTTGTCACTACCATGCAATGATATTGTAGGGAGAAATTTGATATTGACCACTCACAACTACAAATGGCATATATTTATTACACCACCAACCTTTATCTTTGTCTTTATCAAAAAGACTTGATCCAGAGTTCCGTGTCTTCCATGATAGCGCTCTCTTTAGAGACTTCCTTTGAGTTCGTGGGTCTAAGAGCAGAAAAGTAATCTGTTTAATATTAAAAAGCTTATGTTGAGCTATTTTAAGAAATAACATATACCGGTATAATTTATTTATGTTTACAAATATGGAAAGAAGTCAGGACATATTTGATGTTTGATATTGAAGGCTTATGTTGAGCTTTTTAAAGAAATAATGTTATTTGTGTTTACAAATAGTGGATATATTTCACGTCAGATATTGAACGGCTTACGTTGAGCTCTTTTAAGAAATAACATTATTTGTGTTTACAAAATATTGAAAGAAGTCAGGATATATTTTGGTTTGAAAATAACTCTCTGGTGTTGTTAAAGAATGAATAATATTAGTGACCACGGAAAACACTGAAGTAGATTGGAAACAATCTAAAAAATGTTCCATAAGAAATAAACCTTAGGTGAACATTTTTTTTAGGTGAATATGCATAAGACCCATAAGAATGTCGTCTTTCTAATTTGCTTCCTTTTTCGCAATAGATTATATAGTAATTGTTGACGATGCTGAATATGTTCTAAATGATGAATAGTTATTATTCATATTTAAGCAATAGACCAAGCTTTTCAGAGCAAACATTCTTCATGGCTGCAATAGCCAGTGACCTTAGAAATACTATTTCTTGCCCAACATAGCAGCAATTGCATCATAGAAATATGAATATTTCATATACTTTTTTAACCTTAGGCTGGTCAGCTTGTAATTTTATGAAGGTGTAGGCAAGAATTTTTAGGATGTGTAAACTGATTAGGACAATGTATGCATGAATCATTGCAGATGTGCTATGAATATATCCTCTAGACAAAGCTTTTGCAATCGCTTTTTTGATATAGAAAACATTTTTCCATAAAATAAACATGTTACTTAAGATTTTTCTTAAATCAACCTACAACTGACATAAAAGCACTTCAGATTTTATTTCTCCAAAATTCCGCTTGAATGTTGCTGTTAGCAGTCTGCGTTTTTTTTTGTTTATAGAAGGAAGTAACTGATAGTTCACGAAATGCATAAACGTGGCCAAAAATAGCGTTAAGTATCTATTATGCTCTCAATAGCCTCAACAGGGAATAATGGAGCCATCTGTCACTTCTCAGAGCATATGTTCTGTAACATTATAAACTTCTGCAGAAGTTTTCAAAACAAATTTTGTCTTAAGAAAGCAAATGCCAGCCTTCAACCTAATCATAACAGATGATTTCAGTTATATTTGATAAATTCTTCCTTCCAGCAGGCCAGTTTAGTCCGGGACAGTGGATTTATTGCATCATATTCATATAGTTTAGACAGGGAAGAAGAGGCTTAAAATACTCTCCGCTTTTCATCTCGAATAGCTTTGTCTAAGAGGGTGTTTAATATTTAGATACATGACTATTGTCAGCATGGCAAAAAGCCAGGTATTAAAGACTGATATTGGCTCGAATAAGTCCTTACAGTTTGAATTAACAGATTTAAGACCCTTGATGGCACAAATGTCGACAGGTCATCACTCACTGATATGTTTGTTATGACAAGGCAGGAATTCAGAACAAGAAAAATTTGCATGCACTTTAGCTTAGCTCAGCCAAAGCCGACAAATTCATTTTCGTGGTCCCATGTCGAAGCGTCGAGGCAACTAAGTACGCTTACTGCACGAGGCTTAACTTCCTAACGAGCGAAACATTTGATGACAACGTTCGGTTAAGGCTGTCAAATAATTTAGGATGCTAAGCTAACCGGATAAATGACGACAATTGCGGAAACGGAGTGATAAACAAATTCGAAGCGATTTGAAGAACGTTTCAGAACAAAAACGTTTAGGAAACCACGAAATAAACATCGAAATAAACAACCGTTGTACATTGCCGTCTGTGGAAGGGATTGGTCGATCTACTGTTTGAAACAAAGCCGTCGTCACAAGAGAAAAGCGATTACTGCCAAAAGAATAAATACTATAACAAGTATTTATGATTTGAACACTCAAGCTTATAAATTTAATAGTACAATAATGACAAGCGACTTTCAAAATTACACAATGGCTGGTCCAAAACTTGCTATTTCACAACCGACGCAATTCTGCAGTTGCCGACTTGGCTGCTTTGTCTTCGATGCATAATTATTTTCGTGTTTGATTCTTTTTAGGTGCAGGTAGCTTAATTGCATTATAGCGTTATTTTCGCACATCATCTCGCTCAGCCAGCAATTATAAAGTGATCTTGTCGCATATTTGCAAGAGATAAATAAGTACCATAATCATTAATTTGCGCAGCGTCCTCGCAGACACTCTCTTATTTCACTCGAAGCCTTATTTATAATATTCAAAGCCAACAACAAGCGCCTCTTGACCGTAAAGGTCGTTCTAATTGAATTGATTGTTAAACGCATGTGACTTCTCTCTCGTCTTGCACCACAACTCCCGCAATCGAACTAGTTTGAAGTGGTCTTTCAAAAGAACTTAATACAAAAACAAAATGAGCATTATTGTGATATGAATCATTGTGCTTCCATACCTTTGGGGATTGTTACGTGACATTTAAGATTCAATTGCTTTAACCGGGTTTGAGCCACTCTTTGAAGGGCGATACACTCCGGCACAGAGAGCGCGGATAGTTGAGTGTTGGTGAGCTGTACTTTTCGTCCTTCGATAGAACTCCAGGTGCAGTCCTCCTGCAAAACATGAAGATAAAAAAGAGACAGAGCTTAAAACTCGCGCCTGATTGAAAATGCAAAACCTTTCGTATTTTCACAGAAGCGTGGATCAAGGGAATTTCGCGTGTGTAGGATCTTTTAATAAATCCTGTTAAACTGCAATCAGAACAGAATGTAGGCACAAGAACGTGTTGAAGACGAGTTAGCGAAATTCTCTGGATATGTTTTATGTTGTCGAAATACACCGCAGAAGTTTGCAAACATAATTAGCGGTTTTGTTATTAGAATCTGGTGTATGATACTGGTAAATGCAGTGTTTCAAGGCTGAATAAATGCGGGCAAAACGCGATGAAAGGAGCTCGCTTGCAGCATAAAGATGTGTGATGACACTCGATACTAGGCAAGGTCAGGAACGCGTGGAATGAACGGTGTAGTAAAGATGCCGATGGAAAAAACCCTGTGTGTAACCTCTCTAATACAATTTTCACGACTGGTAAATCAATCCGCGCCTTCCGCTTAATCTTACACAGTGGCGCATTATAACAGATTGAATCGCGGCTCATCGCTTAGTAAAGTAACGCGACATCGAGCAGTTAGCCCAGTGAACGCTGCATCATACCTGAGGAATCCACAGGGCATTGCCAGCGTTGGGTATCACCTTCAGCCGGTTTCGCCAGGCCTTTTGAAAGAATCCCTCTTTTTGCGAAGACGACGACGATGGCGGCGGCGACAGCTTTTCCTGCATGCCAGGATCTGAGTCGAGAGCAAGATCGTGAGTGTTAAAGGGGACCTTAGTTGCATTCCTAGAAGATCTAACTGCGCTTGGCTCACTTCGACCCTCTAGTTCCCCATTCGCACCCCCCCTAAAAACAGATCCGATGTTGGCGATGGCTCCCGAGGCAAGCTTTTGCAGCCCTTTCTTTTTATGTCCAACCGAAGGAGACCCGTCGATCTCGACCCTCGGAGACACTTCGCTCGAATCCCCGGCATCCTCTCTCTGCGTACCCATAGAATTCGGCGATCGTAGCCTCGTGTCGCCTTCGCTTTGCTCGACGACCTCGGCCTCATAAGCGGGACTTATGTTCCGGTATTTACGCTGCCCTCTCGCACTGTTGGTTGATTCGTTCATGGCTCTCGGAGATTGGGTTGCAGTCCTGCAAGATGGCGAAACCCTCTCCTCCGATTCTGTTGCCCACTCGTTCTCGCAGGCGTTTAGTACCATGAATATCCTAGCGGTTAATATTCTCCCTTCGCACCGTATAGTGTCACATCCTTGGCACGAACCCGCAATGTCCGAGCTCTTCGGTACGCGTCGGACCTCAAGTAAACTTTCATGATTTGCCTCTTATTCGCATGTTCTAATGGAATTGAGTATTCAGTGTGTAGCTGGCTGTGAGTGAGTTGCTAATCAGTCATTGATTGACGCGGGGGCAGATCCTATTAATTGAAATCAATAAAGGCCCGTGCCCGATTGGCTGCCGAACAATCGCAGATGACGTCACGCGCGAAAAGCCTATTCCATTGTATTTTGCCGCGCATAGCAAGCAAGCACCGTGTTTAACAATTAATGACAAGCAGAGCAACTTCAACGACAGACTTCGAAGTTAAAAAGCTCTGATTTACAAAGCTGATTGAGTACACAGAGGGAAAGAATGCCGAGTAAACAAGCCAACCAAATAGGCCATTCGTTTGGCAGCTTCGCTTGATGGCCGCGGGTGATAACGCTGCGTTGCCAGCCCCCTTGCCTGTCGGCCGACGTTTAAAGTTATTTCATAGGTTTGTATTTACCAGACATACAATAGCGTGCATTGCCATCGCTCACTGATTCCCAATTACCCCCCACCTGTGGAGTTTGTCGGTTGCAAAAAAGTCACTTCTAAAAATTGCGAAGGTTTTTCCAACGGCTTTGCAAACTTGGCCAAATAAAGTTTGTTTTCGTATACCCTGGGGGACCTGTAATCACAAAGTCGTCAGCGGCGAGGAATTGACGTAACTGTGAGATAAGAATTTGCAAGCCGTGCGCCGGGTCTTTGTTTTGCTGCGATAACCGGAGGCTATATACTATTCGTTGGCGTAGACTTCACTTCACATCTCGATGAATCCTAATTGTCGTCCTCGTCAGAGATTCGACACAATAGTACCTTGGAATAATAGGCCAATTATGCGGCGCGCAAGCGACACGAGAGTAAAACAACTTTGTCGAAAGAACAGACCTGTGTGATTTATTCACCTGTTAAAAAATTGCTCAACCGTTTGTGGTAGAAGGTAAGGGGCAGAAAGGGAAGAAAGAAGGGAGCGAACGTTATTCAAATCAACATTGATAAACTCATAAAAAGGACGTCTAATTCTTAAACAATTCAAACCTATGTTTTTCAAGAATTTTTTGTGCTATGTACTTAATATTCAAATTCCTTCGCTCTTCACGTACCAATGTCTAATAGTTTCAGCTAAAACAAATAAAAGCTTTGCAGGATTATGCAAGATTTGTTTTAAGTCTTATCACGGCATATTTTAATACCTTTTTGTATCGTTTTTTATGTGAATCTGTCTACGTTAGTATGCGACAATCTTACTTTGTGTAGTTTTAAACCATACGCTCATCGTAAATCACTTGTTCTCGGTAGAAAAGTAAACTTTCAGGAAGCAGTGTTATTAAGAAATTAACATTCCGTTTGCGCTGCAAAGTTTTACGTCCTTTTAAATGTTTCCTTTTCTTTTTTGTCGTTTCCTTTTCCTTGTGAGAACGTCACGTTTCACGCAAATTACTGCACGATCAAAGTAGAGGTTTGTTTGAGTTTGCTTTTCGTTGTTTGTTTAGTGCCGAACGTGCTCGGCTCAGCGGAAGATAAACCAACTTTAACAAACATTTTACTAGCTAATTTTACCACTGACTTCTCGATCGATTCTTGTGAATTTTTACGAGAGGTCTTAGATAAATCCGTATGGCGGATCAGTTACAGTACATTAGTCGAGCCTTCAAGTGTCACAAAATTTCTGTCTTCGTCAACATTTAATAAATTTTACGATCTCTGCGACCTGGCCTAACTATGAGGTAGAAATTCAGTGCTCTAGACTGAGTTTTCAGACATCCTTTCGACGCCCTTAGTTCAATTTTTGTTGCCTTCTCAAGTTTCCAGCAATAATTTTTACCGTGCTACAATTGTAGGCTGTCTGTACCGTAACATTATATTTTACTTTAAGTGGACATCGTGGTTAACTTGGCTCGAACTCAAATTTCTTATAAAACACGATTTTGATGTCTGTCTGTTTCGAACGACTTTCTGTCTCTCGTTGTTTGCCTAGTTTATTAACTTTCCTATCCAAATGCATGGAGTGAAGAGGAGAAAACATTGTTGAGGGCATATCAAACTCGTAGGAAAATGCACATTACGAAGTAGTGTGATCAAAACACTTCACCAAGCATGAGCGCGGACTTAAAGATATTTCAATATTAAAGATGACTAGCACGGCTGCCAGAATTCCCGATTGTTTCAATTTCTCTAGTTTCTTTCTCGTTTCAAAATTGCCGATGCCTGGGCGCACGCTCTCTCTTGCGCGTTAACCGTCACCGCTGATGCATTAGCCATGGCCAAAAGCCGATCACGAAATATAACAAGCGGTACAACTGCTCACCTTCATAATACTGACTGTAGGATCTCGGGTGACCCACTCTGTTGTGGCTGGAGACTAAAGGATGGATTGATTCGACTTCTGGCATCATTTCACGCCGCACCTTGAGGCGAAAAGAGAACAATGACACAGTGGTTAGGCCTCGCTGCTATCTAACAACCCTTCTGCTATTGTAGCTCACACACAATGAACACTCGTCAGTGAGGAGATGATTGGCAGGTCTCCACTCGATCACCAGCCAGGTCACGGCTACGGTTTGGGAGACAGTGCGCGCGCGTAGAAATCAACTGCAGATGGAAATATCAATAAGGTGTAAAGGTCAACGTTTAAACCGCGCATGATCAGGATAGACCAGAATTCTGGCGTGCGTGCAATTCTAAACGAAATACCTTAGTGCAAAGTAAACAGCTTTTCGGACGAGACAGCTTATTTATGGTTGCGGGAAGGGAATGCTCAGACGCCCCAAAATTGAGCAAGAAGACACTTAACGACTCGTAAATTCAAATGTTAGAGGTCGCAGACGACTCCAGAGAGATCTCGTTCGTCTAGAAGACCGATGAGCTGCTCACGTGGCTGTCTCAGTACAGTATAAGTAGTTATTCAATGATCATAGAACTCAATCAGACAGTCTACACTGTGTTGCATAGCCCGAGGCCAATTCCACCAAGACTATTAATGACTGGTTATCCCTCACACAAAGTGATAATTTCTTGAGTACAGCCTTCGCCGGCCGGCTTCCAGTTTCTTCAGTTCAGCATCATTCGACCACAGTTAGTTTTGGGCAGTTTTTTTCCTGCTCTCGCAACACAAATTCTAAGCCGGTGGTTTGGGCAGGTAGCGCGTTGTATATCTTGATTGCGAGTTCCGAGTTCAGTTGTGTTGTCAGCTCTTTCAGCGGATTTACTTGATCTATTTAAGGATTTTCCGGTGTCGTTGTTTGCTGTTGAATAGTATAGCCCAAACACCCGAACACTGAAAAGAGCTTTTTGTTAACTCCTGACTTGTTGGCAAACATTTTTTGACCTTTGTTTTCAAGAATACTCTCCCTTTGTTAAAGAAATGTCATTTTCTTACGTTGTGTAATCAGCCCCTGACGTTCGTAGTGGCCGTGGTGAGGTTACGATTTGTTACGACATCTTTGAATTTTGAATTTTCGGTGATTTGCTAGAATAAATAACATAAATAGATGTACATTTGTTCCTCTACAAACACGCAATACGGCTTAAAGTCACGCTATCGGTTTCTCACGAACTTTGCGGATACACGGAAAACGTGACTTACGTAATGAAGTTGTTTGATGCACAGTAACCGATGGAATTCTTTTCAGAACAAGAGTGCAAATAGTCCATTCTTAACTCGGAACTGGTGATCGTGTAATATCACGATTTGCCCGTTCCGTAAAATTAAAGTGTCTCTACACATATACGAGCTGATTTCCGGCAATCATCAATTGTTCTAAACTTATAAGTTATGCTTATGTCTTTGCTGTCCTAAGTACGTGGTGAAATTTGAAATCTAGCGCCTTTACCTTGCACAATCTAATTGCTAATAAATGTGTATTTGATGAAAATTTTTCTGTATACAAGCCAGACGAACGAAGGCAGATGGTTACTCAAGCCAGAAAATCTGACCTCGTCGACAAGTTTCCACAACTATACGTGATATGAATTTTAAGTGTCATCATGGCTTTCTTCAGTCATTCCGCCGGTATTGTATAACGAAAACTTCTGCATGTGTAGCAAGTATTCACGCCTCTCTGTGTGTTTCGGCCAAAATTACAACTTCTCACGCGCTACCCACAAATAGTTGCCCAGTTTAATCAATAAATCTCCTAAAAAATTTCCTAGGATCACTTCCACTTGTCATCCCTTCTCAAGATTATTGCATACTCCAGCGACAGGTGTCAAGAAAAAGAAAATAAATAACTATATAGGGAATGTAGGCTTAATTTACCGACAGATTTTGAAAACGAACATGTGGTAAGACTGAATCGTATTAAAAGGGACAGTTTCGTTTTAAAGGGTTGGAAAGGGTTGGCTTGGCTACCTCAGTCAGCAGAACGTTATGGTACATGGGATGCAGTAGTTAATCACAATGAATTTGCTTACTTAGCTTCTTGAATGGATCTAAATGCCCCCATAAATGCCATTTTGAGGCTGTGCTAACTTGTGGTGACAAGCTTAAGAAGGGAAGCACGAAGTGGTTGCCGAGACGTACTTTATATTTACGTGGTCGTTATAAATCTTCGTAAATCAACACCGAGGCCGGTTAGGAGCAAGATGCTTTGCTCGACAAACGCGGAGGAATGTTTTGACGCAGCAAATCCGCATCAAACTTATTATACCAATGGAAAACATACATACCTCGTGTCGTCACTTGAAAACCAGGCTGTAGTGAAACAAGAGCGTCAATAGAGATACGTCGACAAGCGTTTGTTTCGAATTATTGTGCTCCGTATCATCGCTTGCACACTGTATGTTTTGACCGCAATGAAGTTGACTTGTCATTCGTGTAATAAATCAGCTGTCATTAAGGTTTTTATGAGCACTCTTTCATACCGGCCTCCATTGGGCTAATGACTTCCGAAAGTGGTTTTCTACGAAGCGTAACGCAGTTAAGTGTATGACTGTCTATTTTTGGTTTATCAGTTTGGCGCAACGAACCGTGCAAAGATATAGACTTAGACATGTTGGTGCGATGGCTCGTCAACTTCCGAAGATACTAAAGTTCAGCTGGGTATGGGCCCACGTATTAAGTTCTCTAGGTAAATTTGTTCAAGAGTTCATTTTTGCGGGCGAGAGGAAGGAGAGGGGGAGAGCTCGTGAGAGGTTTATTACCAGGGGTTACATACAACTTTTAATTTACAGCCGTGATTTTGAAGATGCGAGAGGCGCGATGGTCGGCCTGCATGGTAACTGCACTGGACGTCAGGTTTTAAGTCCTGCCGGGTTCATCGTGTTGTGTTATGTCAGGAACCCATAATATGGTCATGAGTAAGATCAAGGCACTTCAGGAAGCCCCACAGTGCCCCCTCTATCAAGGAATGCAAATGGAGCGAGTAGAGAAAAATGATCAGAAAAGTCAAACTGGCTGAATTTATAGGGACGAATTATCCGACGCCGAATTTACATAAGGAGACGATTTGTTCATCTGAAACGATTTATTCGTCTTAGTTGGATAAATCTTGTTGGTATTAATCCATCTTGAAAACGTGCTGAGGTCGAATCAGACGAAGATGAATCGGGCCATATAATTCGTCTAAACACTGGATTTATACTTCGGTGATTTACCCGTCTGAGGCAGTCGAATTACCGTTCCTAAAAGGCAAATTCGTCTCAGACGGACAATTCGTTCATAAACTAAATTCGGCCGTTAGCTTAATTCTGACGTAGAGGTTCCCACTAATACGTCAGTGAATAGAGTTCCTGGTTTTCCTGTTTCCTTTTTTTTTTCTATCTCCGGCCTATTTTTAAAACTTTCTTTCCTTGTTATTCTTTCACAGCAATATCCTGTTTGCCCTTTGGCTTGAAGATCTCAGTTTACAGTGCACGACAAAGTTCTGAGTGACCTCTGTTAGATTGTGGCAACCGGCCTTCCATACCCAAAACTGAACGTGATAAAACCCACTTCTCAGGTGAAATGCATTGTCAAGTATGCAAGGGGCGTCTAACATACGTGGGAACCATTTTGGAAAATTCTTAAATCCGTCTTTAACAGCTCCCAGATGGCTAATTAGATTTGTGGTGGTTCACAGACTGAAAAGTAACACCAGAAATTTTCTTTTTATTGTTAAAGCAAAAGAACCGGTATATGAAAGTGCTCATGATTTCTTGGGTTTAGACAAATGAACTCTCGAATTTTCTCGGGCATCAGGCTGTAGGATCTGGGTAACTTCTGCCATGGATACGACTGAGCTAAGCAACAAAGGAGCAACGCAGCGAATGCCAGTTTCATTTCAAGTCCAATCAAAGGCAGAGAAGACCCGAGGAACCCCCGCCTCCCACCCCCGCGGCCTTCTTTAACTCGTTTTCAGTCTACTCCGTTGAACTGCGTACTTCAGTGACCGGGACGTGAAATTTATTTCCTGGTAATGAGGTTTGTAAAACGTTCCTCCACCTCCTTCCATCCGCCGTGCCCGAGCCTGTGCAAGAGTCATGGTTAGCGAAATAATCTTAAAATTTCCTTAACCAGGATCCAATATTTTATCTAACAGCTGGTGCAAAATTAAATGTGGCCTCTTGCTTTCAGTGCTGCCATACACGCGAACACAAGTTGTTTAATAATTAAGTTCAAGTTGGCTTGTACCGTAAGGTCAGCGTTGTGTAGGATGTTGTTGTGTTATCGATCGGAAGTGCGTAAATCTAGCGGTTTTGCGTTTGATTGCCCTCAAATTGAACTGCGCGGGATATCAAAGGTAAATATTATGCAAATGATGAAGATTTAAATACCGCGTATTATTATATACTTGTTGCGTGCGGAAAAAAGGAAATTTTCACTGAGCGAGGGCGTCTAGTAATTCTTTGCTATAGTCTGATAATCTACGACCGGCGTCTTGACGGAAGGCATCCTATTTAGTCAGCGCAGTAGTAGTTGTTATTCTCACGTGCAAGTCATCGCAGAAGGTTTTTCCCAAGAAAGAAAATGTCTTCATTGTTCGAGACCAGTGTTTTAACATTCCATTTTGCGTGCGTAAACGCAGATACTGCTCTTGTACCCACTGCGCCTGCGTGTTATATCTGTCATTTAATCTTATTTAGGATAAAATACGTTACTCATTTGCACTGTGGATGGATGACTGCTACAACACTTAATTCTCATGTTCATGCACTGAGATCCGTAGGAGGTCTTTGCGAAAAAAGGAAGAAAAAAACCAAATCATTTTTGTGGGCCAGTGTTATAAATAGCCCATTTTGCGTGCGTATCAACATATTTACTGAGCTTACATTGTGCATGTTTGTATACCTGTTTTTCATTTTATTGGCGGTTTTTTGCCAGGATGCGGTAAATTAGCTTCTTAGAGCGTTGTAAAGTGACAACGTATTCTTGTTTAAGACGTAGCCGCGTGACAAGAAGCACCTGTGGTTGGCCCGGCAACTCATTGGGGGACCTTGGTGAATATCAGTTCGGTTGCCATCGTTAGACAATTGGAACAACTGGAATACGTAATAACTCTAAATAAAGGAAAATAGATTTAACACGTTTGTCAAAACACTGCAATAGGTCGTTGAATTAAAGGAGCTAAGTCACGGTTTTCGCATCCAGAAAAGTGAAGCTTAAATTTTTCAAATTCGTCGTTTGCAATCCGTGTTAACTTTCTCCATCCTTAACCATTCTTGTTCCTTCATGGTTTATTGTTATTATCCCTTTGGCGTTTTTATCTCTTAGTAAACTACTATTTTCAGGTTTTCTTCAATTTATAGGTCGTTTTGTACATGGCCGAAATACCGTAACTGAGCTTCATTAACTGACCGCGTGTGCTTTACAGAGAACATCGTTTTAATGAGTAGTGTAATTCCCGGAGGGGGAGGGGGTAGAGGGAGGGGGGAAGGTGATGGCGGTATTTCCCCTCGGAGAAAATCGGACTGAAAACCTAAACTTAAATCGCACAGGAGAAAATCTCATAGCCGGGATGGTTTCAAAATTGTGTTTATTATAGAACCAATTTTACAGTGGTTTCTCTTTTTTTCCGTGATCTGTGAGCGCATTTTTTATGTCAAAATAGATATGCATCGTATATATTAGACATTTGTGGATAATTCATCGCAAGGGGTAATAAATTAACAGTGGAAGAGCCGTAGCATAATTCACATATTATGCTGAAAATGGAATTTATCATCTTACAAAATTTACCTTATCAAAAAACTGCAATAAAAACGTTTAACTAAAATTGACAAATGAAGCCAATATCTAAAGACCTAGAAAATATATCTCAATTTGGCTTCGAATTCCGGCTTATTTTGCCACAGTGCGACTGATAAATAAGACTTGAACGTTCTTCGTAAAATGTCTTTACCACATAATCACCTACGAACTGTTTCAGAATTTCACTTTTAAAAATGTTCACGTGACAATGAACTGAGCGATTGGACGTGAATACACGAGTGAATTACGTATGAAAACTTTTAAATACTCTGTACATCTTCCTTTTAAAAATTATGTTCTCTCAGAGAACAAGTCCATTTTGTCGCAGGTATGATTTTTGGAGGCTACCCGCTAGAGTCGTCACCCAATTCCAAGCAGGGGAGAAGCATGCGTCGCTCTCAAATCTTGGTACAGAAGTGTTCCAATAGGGCATCCTGGTTTCGTGACATTTTGGGGCTTTCAATTTGTCGTTGGTTCTCAGAGCTCACTCATGAATACCATAACTGTATCGTGGTGTGTTCATGGCCACGCATTGGTGATTCTACCCTGCCATTCGGGCAGCCATAGGGTTTCCTATACTTTTGTTTCGGGGCCGTCTGATCCGTACTGGAAGGTGTCTCGTACCTTGGCCACTGACGAAGCCAAGAAGGGCCCGATGGCTTTGCTGTAGTACTCTGGTGTTCTACCCCTGCAGAAGAGCAAAAAAAAAAAAAGTATTATTTTAAATTTCACTGTTTACCGGAACAGCCTTTTCTGGTACTCTGTTACGTCAGGACGGCTGTACAGAGACGAACAACTACATCAGGGACTTCTTCTGGTTTTTTCTGATGAAGTGCACTTTTGAATTTGTTCTATAGAGCAAGAAGATAGGGAGATTTGGAAGTTAATCCCAAGCTACTATCGACAGAGTAAAAGGGGGTCCCGGGCGGATTCTTTCTGGTGCGCCCACGAAACGAGCTTCAATGGCTAAACGACACCCATCCTCTGTTTAGGATGAACAAAACAACGTTCACCATCTCGGAACTCCGCTGTGCTCGACAGAAACTGGGGATATTTTCCCTCTTTTTTTTCTTTATTCCTCACAAAGTCAAGGTATCTCAAAATTTTATGATCTCAGTGGTTTATTTTTATAATGACAACAAAGTTCTATTGCGTGCAAGACTATAATTTTGAATAAAGTAGGAGGAAAGTAAAGCGGAAAATCGTGTGGGTTGTGTGTGATATGAAGTTGTTCTGCAGAAACTCGAGTCAGGCAGCGATCAGGAAAAGAATACTTCAATAAGTTTCCTTAAATTAATTTGATCTTATCAGCACGTAACACAGACCAGTAACCGCACGGGTGAACAGTTTAATATCACAAAGAGCGGGTTACACTTATCTCTGAGAATCCGAATGATAAAGATGCCGCTTCTATTGTGCCATGGTCAAAGTCTCGTTGTTTTGCCAAAATTACATTTGAAAACTGAGCTCGGTGATTCGCAGTGATAAGAAATTTCTGTCTCTCTTTGTTCAAAGAAAATGGGGCATAACGGACGAACAAGATGAAATGAGATGTATGAGATTACAAGCAGTTTATGACGGACCCGTTGTTTTGATGACAAATCGACCACAGAGTTGTTTTGTAGGACTTTTCAAAAGTTCATTGTCCAAGCGCAATACTTGAGGGTTTAGGGTTATGGTTCATCCTGGGCTTGATACAATGATTTCGCTTGGTGGATTCCATCAAGCGAAATCAATGGATTCCATCAAGCGAAATCATTGTGTCAAGCCTTTCACTCTTCACACTTTCCTTATACAATAGCTATGTTAGGTTGCGTAAAATTTTAGAAAACGTCATCACTAATAGACAGTCCTTACCTTTGATCCACACGGCTTATATGAGTTAGCCGAGATTTTCCGTTTTCCAAAGGTTCTACAAGGTATCTTGATGCGAGTACAATAGCAGGCACTCCATTGCTGGGAGGGGCTCGGGGGTGATTAATAGATGTGGACACCAGCGCACAGACACCTCGTTCGAGGTCCGTCCATGACCTTCGAAAATAAGACAGAGAATAGACAAGTTAGAGACGATCGGCGCAACTTTAAGTTGATCCTGAATGTCTTGAAGTTCGTCCTTTTCAATTCTTAATCTTCCTCATTCTAAACTATCCTTGTTCCTTTTGGTTGATTGTTTCCTCTTTGGTGTTAATGAAGGTTAGAAAATTATATATATACTTTTTAATTTTGCTTCCTTTGAATTAAAGAGAGCTCGGTTTACCATTTTTTGGCTGGGTATGTTGAATAATTTTGTTTAATTTTTCAAGTTTCGTCAAAGTGAAAGTTGAATTTCAGTAGCTTGCAGCAAAGACAGAGAACCTGAGGTCATCACTGTTGCTTCAATAACGTATTTACCTCAGCACCACGTGTTGACGTTTCGGTTGCAGGATCATGGACTTTGTGGTGTAAAAGAAGACGTCTGTGTGATCATCGATTTTCTCGATCATATCCCATGATTCCAAATCTTCATCCCAGAGATGCCTAAAAAAGACGCCACCAGTTATTAGAGAGAGGAGGTAAAATGGTCTTCACTAACCAGAGCTCGACAGCGGTTTCCGCAGGATAAAATAGATAAGATTCAGAATTAAATGCTACCATCCTGTGGATGGTGACCCCGAAGGTAAGGGATGGGATTTAAGCGCTACAGGCTAGCTTAACCTCTTCCCCAGCGGTTTCCTCCACAATTTGCTTGTACTCATACAGTTACATGCATACAGATGAATGCAAAGAGGCCCCCCAAAGTGTGGTCCAACCATGCTACTCACAGTGATAAGTAGGCAACGAAAAAATGCTGCGTATATACGCACTAATTCTCCAACTGGTGCGAATTTCAAAGGAATCTTAACTGAACTTAACGAGATCACACACAGTCGAGAATGTGTGTGGTCTACGACAAAAAGAAACCATTACTCATGAGTTTCCCGACGTAAATCGGTTTTTACCTTTCATAGAGAATTCTCCGTATGACATCATCAGGACTAGCATTGACTTCGACAACACATCTCCACAATCTAAGCGGGTAACCATCTTTGACTTTCTTGTAGGAAATCTCTACCGAGCTGTCGTACCATGGTTGCGACACCCAACCCTTGAATTTGTCTTTCGCTTCCTGTAGAGAAAAGAAAGGAATATTAACTAAAATAAATTCTTCTTCCAAGAAGATAATCCCTTTGAACAGAGTTCTCTACTGGATACAAAAATTCCGGAAGGTGCCAGTGGAACACGTGGACAAACAGCCAATCAGCGACCGAATAACTGTAAGTAAGCCAATAGGAAATGACGTTGGACACACGCGGCGAGAGTTGGCGGGAAAATCTTTGAAAGATTGCCTTCGCGCAGAGCAGAGAGCATCGTATTTGTTTGCAACACAACTAAACATTACAACTAGTTTATTACCTTGAGCAGTCCAGCAATGCACGACTCGATGTAAGTCTGATAGCCACTTTCGGGACTGGATTTTGATTTTCCCAGCTGCTCCAAAGAAACTGGTTCGCCTTTCTCGATGTACGAAAACCGACTGTTCTTGACAGTATCTTCGGGAATCTGAAAGCACAAGATGGTTAAGACATCATAAATTGGTACCATTTTCACTTTTCAAGTCAGTATTTTGGAGGTTACTTTTAGCCTGCATCTTTCTCCGTATTCTATAATTTCGATTCTTCGAAACTTATGTTTATGGTTGTCCGAACTCTTGGATGCTGAAAGCTTACAGACTTCAGAAAAAAGGTTGTTTATTTAAGCTTAAGCTTATCTTCGGTTAGTGAAAGCAACTACAATACTGTAGAGCCTGAGAAAAACTCTCGGTAAAATGTAAAGTTTAGAGGAATTCGACTTACCGAGAAGAGCTTATCGACTTCGGTAATCATCTGAGCCAGACATTCGTGTGCAGCCTGAGACAACAAGAAATTCATGGAGACATCAGTCTAAACATCACTCTCTGTTACATTGCTTTGTTTTAAATACGCTTTAATACTTCATCAGGTTATAAATCTACTGGCCTCAACTTTCTTAACAAGTACGAGGCTCGAATGAGGTAACGCACAAGGACGTCTTTTATTATTAACGTTTTGGTCCTTCCGCCATTTATGCTGTCGTTAGAAACTTGCACTTTCCAAAGTTTGATGTTCAAGCAACGATGAGATGAGCTTTAAAAGTAACTTTAACTTGAAGTGCAAATTAAAGGAAGGATCAGGAAGGTACTGAGGTGATGGGGTGGAAATACGTACCAAGTTATCAGTGAGTTCTTTGGAAGCTTTGTTCATGGGCGTTCTCTTTTGCCGCTTAGGGGATGATGGGTCCTCTTTGGTGCCACACAAATGGAAAAGTGATGGAGCAAAGCATACTCCAAGATTCTTCTCATTCATCTAATAAAGAGAATTGGAGGTCACATTAGAGTGGTTGACATGGGATTTATCTACACCCATGATGTGAGCTTATTATCATAACCATGACGATAAAGGTGGTCAGAAAAGATGCTTGTAATAATTTAAGTGATAATATCAGTGATGATGAAATAATGAGGAAGATGAAGAGCACTGTTTAATGATAAATCAAGTCAAGTGATACCACTAAGTGCAGATTGAGCAGACACTCAAAGTTGTCCCTTGCTACTATTCAACTGAGTGTCGTAAAACCAAAACCAAACCAGTTACCTATTAAACCAGCTCAAACTGTACCAAAACCAAAACGAAAGTAATTGCCTGATTACTGTCGACACTCAACTCAAAAACGCTTTATCTGGCAACCAAATTAAATGCTACAGTGTGATGGTGCAAAGCTCTGTTGTTTTCTTTTTCATGCTTGTATTTACCTGATTTCTTTCAGAATTGGCAGCCACTTCATTTAAGAACAACAGTAGTGTCTGTAGTGCTTCCCTGTTTGGATCAGGCATGAGAAGAATTGCTGCTTGCATTGCCTCCATTCTGGAATTGGAAGGAATACCTACAGGGAAAGACACCGACAACATAAAGACCTGGAACCAGTAAGAAGAACCCTTGGGTCCTCTGACAAAAGCCTTTAATCACCATGATAACCTCCTGTAGGTTCGCATGATCAACTGGTATGTTCTGTAAAAATAAGTGTATTCTGCTCTACCTACATCTTTCACCTCATCAATGCAATGTAAGACCAAACAAGTCAATCACTCATGGACATATTCTCCCAACTTATGCTATAACTGATTATTGGAGACCAGTGTAGAGAATCCATATGCTGACAGCAGGGTAGATTCATTAGTTTTAGAGAAGGTGTAACATGAGAGAAAAGTGTCTGTGAGCTTTGACTATAAAGGGAGTAGTTTGAGGTGCTTCATTAAATGGTTATTCTCTTTCTGATGAAAACCATTTTGGTATTAGGGTTAAAAAAGATTAATGAAGATTTGTAACCTACGTAGTAAAACTCACATAAACCACAAATGGTTTCCACTTACTTGAGAAGATAGTTATGAATGTTTCTGCTAGTTTTGATGTCAAGATGGGTTCTGGAAGTTCTCTGAAGTATTGCTTGAGCATGTCAGCCATGTCATAGGGTGACAGGCCTTCAAAGTCAGTGTTATCTGCAGCACATAAACAGCCAATCAGGATAAATAAGCTGACATTTATGCTGATAAAATCTTAATTACTCTTATAATTTGGATACATTCAAGCAACCAAGGGAATAAGTTAAAAATGCTTGATCTCAATATTACAGAACATGACTTGACTTGTTTCAACCAAGTAAGGCTGAAAATGTCTTCTATTGGGACACTGACCAAATCAACCAAAACTGGTTGAGGTTGAAAACCTTGTTCCCATTAGAACACAACCTGTAGAGGTTATTGTCAGGAAAGAATTGTTAAGAAAGACCGTTATACCTGGATCTCCTTCGATCATCTCCTTCAGGTGATTTATTCTCTGTTTACCACCTGACTTTCTAAATATGCCAACAGCATCCACAGCTGTAGATTAAAGGATTACACCACACATTAGGCTTCAACATTATAAAGTATTACAGGGCTGTCATTAAGGGCCGAAACCCATAACACCTGTTACGGCTGAGTATGCTTGATGGGCCCTTGATGTTATGGTGACATAACGTTAGACTGATACAATGCACCCACCAAGTAACAAGTTTGTTACGAGTGTGAAGATCAAGGCAACGGGTGACTCAAAACTTAATAACTGCACTGCCTATAGAATTACATACTTGGCCAATTTGGCTTTCATTCACCCACCATGTCAGGTAATTTAGTTATCTGATTATAAACTTCATGTATCCAATGCCGAGACAATATGATGACATACTTATTCATAATAACATGTAATTGTTGTACAGTCAGCAAACAAACCCTGAAATGATATGTAGCTGAAAGAAATATGTGCTGGTTTGGCCAATTTATATCAGTAAAAACTGAAATATAAGCTTCAGCAATGACAATGTTTATTTTACCTGATCTTTGAAGGTAATTGATTGCAAAGAGTATTGACTGTGGAAGAGGTTGACCTGTACGCTGAAGGACAACTGAAAGGGGAACTCCAAACACATTCCTGTCTGAAAAGTAAAATCAGAGAGGACTTTTCTTTACACGTTCAATGCACAACTACTCTCGACAAAAGGTTTCTGAGCAACAAATCAACCTCAAAATATTTATTTACTTGTAACTTGTCTGTGAGCAATAATTTAAGTTTATGCCAATGCACTAATGTGACAATTACCTCTATAATCTGGGGACTTGAGTTTCTTTAAGAAATGGGGAAAGGACCTGTTAAAAAAAAGAAAACCATAACATTAATAGATTTATTTATCTGAACTGTACTTACACAAGAGCAGACCATTTCTTAGCTCAACCTAGCTTCAAAGTTTAAGAAAATAATTTTGATGCCATTTTGAAAAAAAGATTGAACAGGTATATATTATGTATCCCAAGATGCAAAGTGTGAAAACAGATTTCAGTACCAAAGGATTTATAGCAAAAATACCTACTAGAGAAATATATACTGGGTGGAGAAGTGTATTATCTGGCAGTATGATAATACTGTCATTCATAAACACTGATAAGAAAAACGTTTTTAATGCTTGCTACAATAACAAATTTGAGGTTTATTTATGGAAAAGATTATTAGACAGTAGTTGTCGAAGACCTAGCTGCTTTATGCTACAGAAACTGGAGATAAGCCCCAGCCTGATGGGCCACTTGGCTCCTATGCAGACTTATTGTTGCCTCATGAGGCATTTGATGTTAGACAAATGGTGTTGGTGACATAGTAAGTCAGATCAGCCATCTTACCAGTTCCACATGCCTCTGTGTGAATGAGTGTGTCGTTCCATTAGTGCTGTGAGCTTCAAAAGTGAATACTTTCTGAGAACAGCTAGCTGTCCTGCTGTCAGGTCACAGATTTTTGGAGACCTGCATGATAATAAAAGGAGAGTAAATTTGATCAGTTAAGGTCACTTCTTGCTCTCTGTCATACAAAATAAGGTTTTATTACAAATAACAGGTAAAGTTTCTGAATCTGCCTCAAGATCCTGTTGGCTTTCATCCAACTGTAATAACATTATTCATGCTTTTATTTGTTTATAAAACATGAAATTTTAATCTTCCTAAACTGGAATCTCAGTGTTGCTAACTACCACCAAGGCCTCAGTGCAAAAAAAATGCTACACTTACATAACACGTATGTCAGGTTTAGAAGTTTTCTCAAAGCTGTGCCACCGTACTTTAGGCCTTGTTACTGTTGACGATGGTGCCATATCGTTGTTGCATTGTCTCTCTGAATTTCTGATTGACCGCAGCATTGATAAATCTCCTGGTAAATCATCAATTTCATCATCGCGTTCTAAGTCAGATAGCTCCTCATTTGAAGATGCACTATAACTTTCTAGTCCCAAATCACTACTAGTAAGATTTCGTTTTTGAGTTCTATTTGAGTGTTTTAGTTCATCGTTCTTGTTGAGGTCTTTGCCGACATTCGATATTGAAGGTGTACTGACACTCAGTGCTGGAGATAAATTATCATATACACTTGCTCTCCCTTGTGTTATGCATAGATCCAAGTGTGAAAAAGGTGACAATTGGTCTGGTACAAGTCTGTCTTTCTTATGGAAAGATCTTTGCCTTGTGTTTGTTACACTGTTCAATGACGAATTTATTCCATTATGTGAACTGCTTAACCCTGGAGTCTTTCCTTTTGAAAGTGAAGGTGAACCATTCCTTCGACTTGACCATCGCCGATTCTTGTTTTGAAGCTTCCAGCGTGAACTTAGTGCAATCAGGTCTTCCTCATCTGAGTCATAACCATCACTCTGTTCAAACAATAATATGAGAAAATCTGTGATTCCTGTGCTACTTTTTGTCAACTGGGAATGTAAGTTGAATATGCCCTGACAGTATTGATGAGTACAAGTTATCAACTGGCCTATTACAGTACTTTGAAAATGTTGTGTAGTTAAATTCAGATGAAGGAAAGATAGATACAAAATAATTATTCTGCAAAAAACGTTATATCAAGTTTTCAAGGATGAATAGGACAAAAAGTGGCTGTTATTTAATACCTTAATATGCAGGTTCATTTTTGCACATCGATTGAGTGTTTGAAGACGCCTACAAAAGAGATGGAAGATATCAATAGACTGAAACAAGAGCACATGATCTTGTCGTGCGTTCCTTTGAGGAAACCATAAACACTGTACAGTTTTAAAACTAGTCACCAACCTGTACAAGGATTGGATGGAATCTTGATCAAGGAAGTGATGCTCCTTAATGACAGATGCTGTGTCAATTGGGAACTTTCCATCTAAAAAAGAAATGTACAATCAATTTTGATTCTTGTAAACTATTGGGTTGTTCCAGAAAATATCCACACTACTCCCACGGAAGTTTTGATTTCAACTTCTTCTTTCCTCTGTCAATTCCATTTCTGCTTCATACTTTGCTTTAAAAATGTTTGCTTTTGAGAGACCCCTCCCTTGTGGAATTTCCAACAACCATCCTTGGGTGGGGATGGAGATTTGCTGGAACCACACATTTTAATGCTAGTTTCAACATCACTGGTTCAACTTCTGCAGCAACTGTTATTTTGACTGGACTATTTAACAACATTCTGAATGGTTCGCAAAATTATGGAATGGTTTTTGTATAGTGGTAACTATCATGGCACTTTGGTTTCTCATTCACTCATGGTCCATCAGGCCAGAGCTTATCCCTGTTTCTGTAGAATGAAGTGACTAGAAGTATTTCTACTCCCCTCAAGATGGGATGCTACTTTATCGCAGGGTTACGCCTAGCATTAAGTTTGCCAGTACCCATTTATACACCTGGGTGGAGAGAGGCACTGTGAGAGTAAAGTGTCTTGCCCAAGAACACAACACAATGTCCCCGGCCAGGGCTTGAACCTGGACTGCTCGATCCAGAGACTAGCGCACTAACTGTGAGGCCAATGCGTCTCCCACTGTTTACACTTGTGTTGTATTTCAACAGGTGCATCACACAGGATAGCCATCTGCTGGTCTAGGGCAACAGGTGATTGAAAGAGACTGGGTTGTCTAAAGGAAACATGGTGCAGATCCCTGGACACTGCAAGACACTAGAATTGGACATGGTCATGAAACAGGCTGCTGCCCAACAGTAAAAGCACTGTCCTGAGAAAGTGGGTGAGTTATACAGAAGGTGATCAATTTAGGTTTTACCTTCAAGGCTTGCTAATTAAGAGACAAGGAACCAGACTGCTTTAAACTCTTGCATGATGACACGTTCAGTAGGGGGTGAGAAATGTTTCTGGTGCATACAAAATTTCCAAAAGTTGCAGAATTTTAACTGCTACAGAAACAGATAAACTAATCATGGTATCGGCTATATGGTATTACCTTCGTAGGCCTGTGCATACTGTGGAAATCCCGCAGCTTTAAGCCAGTAGCAGGCCTCGAGGGCTTCTAACTCTGCGTATCAGAAGAATAGAATATTAATTAGTGATAAACCTATAGACCATGTTGTAATCAAGCCAGCTGACCATGGGTGACAAATATCAGAAACAGAACACTAATTTAGTGTTAACAAAATTTTACCCAGTTAACAAAGTTTTACACAGACTGCTAGTAAACAAAGGTAAAAAGTGTTTATATTATCAGCAATTATATCAAACGTTGGTTTTGTGTACAACCAGAGGACAAGTTGAGTTTACAACAAGCATCCTTCAAAATCTTCATGAGGTATAACGTTAATTATTAAACAAATTGCAAAAACCAATCAACATTTTATCTCCTACAATGAAACAGGACGTCGAAATAAAATTAAGCATGTGTTGCAATGAAAAACCCGTGCTGATGACAAAATTATTTTAAATAGTTGACAAGCTATTCTAACAACAAAATGTACAAACATGATTGCCTGGATGGAAATCGCACCAGGCAGCTTCCGGTGTTCGTCTTTCATAATAACATGTTTAGGGGTTGCGTAAAAAATCACATGAAACATAAATGTTGCAAAGGTTATTATCTCTGTTTTGGTGTTTACTTCTTTGCTGTTTCGTATGAGTGTTTTATAAATTATACACACGAAAGCACAGGCAACATTCAGAAGAGTATGCCGAATCAAATTTGTTATGTTTTCATGGTGATCTGACACTTGACTGTCAATGTTTGCTGGCGCGTCTGGTACGATGCTGAGAAAATTTATTGCCCTCTGAATTCTGGTTATCAACACTTTACACAAGAAAAAACATCCGCTGTTTTCAAAAAATATCCCAGGAGGATTTTGACGACAGTCCCTGTTATAGAAAACGATTTAGCAAGCTAGTATTCGAACCGGACAAAACGAAACAATAAAGTAAAGTGAACAAACTGGACAAGCTTGTGTCAACAATGATTTCAGTTAGCCATGCCAGCTATAAAATTCTCGGCTAGAACGCGGTTTCCTCTTTCGCAGCAAGTTCTGTTTGCTGCGCTTAGAAATAGACGTCTGTATGTAGAATACAGAGCAGGACGTTTGACATGGCAAACACAGGCCAAATCTTGTCGTCGATTAATGAGGAAATATGAAAAGCAAAATATGTACATGGACATGTTGATCTTGAAACCTACTGTACATGTCCTCGAAAACAATTAATAGTTAAAGACACCGCGCGGAACAGTATCGCCACAGAGATCATCGGCACTTGAAGGACAATGGCGAAGACCGGTCTTTTTCACATGCGACTGACAGAAATGTTTGTTTGATTGTAGGTTAAGGAGAACAACGCGCCAAACAGTGGTGAGATTTTGCAGAGAGAAGTCGATGTAGGCCTGATTTTTGAACTTACTTGTAATTTCACGCATGGCTGGCGCGCGAAATGAACAACATTCTGTTCAAACAATCTCCGCCGTAAACCTGAAAGAAGGGGGCGAGAAACGCAAAAACAGCCCGGCCGATCTCGACTGTAAAAGTTCGATTAAATTTATCGAAATTTACTTAATGGAACAGTGGATTCCCTAAACAGATCCATCCCTCGTCACGTGAGAACTATCTTTCAGATTTTATTCAAATCAAGTATTTGTTTTGCTTGCACCGCCACAAAGTCTGAATGTATGAATGGCTGTGGTTTGTCGCTTGTAGTCCCTCTGTGTATTACTTCATCCGGTTCCGAATTGCTAAGCAAGCGGCTTTATAAATTGGGAGGGTTTTGTTTAGCTTTCCGCTGGAATGGACATGAAAAGCATTGCTCTACTCTTGTCGCGGGAGATATTGTATAACCTCAGATGAAAAATTGATGTCACACAATTTGCCAATGGAATGGAATGTTACTCATGCCTTGATTTTGATAAACTCCTCGATGACCGGCCACTAACTGAGTACATTAAAATCAATTGTGGGCAATCGTTCACCAATTTCGCAATAAAAAAGTCTAATTTTTGGCATTCCATGTTGGACTGCCTCTTTGAGACAATTGCCACAAGAAAAGCAAAACATTTCATTTGTGATCCAGGTGAATGCATCGCAGAATTCCGGGCACAGTTCAACTGAAGTCACTCGGTTTCGCTTCCAGAGTGCTCCGATCACCCGGAAAACGAAAATTCGTAAAGCAAAATTCAAAGGCTAGCATAGGAAACACAATATAAATATCAAATGGAGTACGACAACGTTAATCGACAGAATAGAAAATGTAAGCAATGTGAGTTTGAATTCCTTCACATCTCGGGTCATTTTACTTTACTCAGTGGTACCTTTGATTGTGTCTTTCTTGTTCTTGCGAACCATGAATCGTCGCAGTATTTTACGCCTGTTCTCACCACCGCTGTTAACACCGTCAGACAACGCCATGGCCATCAGATAGATTAACCACCACGGCACAGATATTGAACGAAAGCGCAATATAATCGGGGGCACCGAACAGAACTGCTCATTTCTGCCTTGAGGAAATTTTACCTAACAGTTTGATATCAACCAAAATGACACATCCAAGGAGACTAGGCCCCAGGAAATTATCCGAACACCCGATTTGATTGACGTATTGTTTATGTCAACGCCTTGACAAATAACCACCTATTGTGAACAGAATGACACAATCGAACTAATCGCTAAGGGTGGGGAACCAAATTATACACTCTGATTCACTAGCTTTCACTGCTAGATAGCTCGCTTGAGTTCAGAATTCTATCAGAATTTTCGATTTCAAAGCATTGGCGACCAGAGAGGTTTTTTAATATGGCGTTTTAATATTGCCCAGTTGCGCAAAACATTTTCTGCGAATGACGTCATCCAAGGCGTGTGATATTTTATTTTTTCAGGCGCTGTTTCAGGCGTGTGTGCATGTGATTTCCTGTAAGTAGCACGGTTGAAGTTAAACCTGTGGGAGTCACAGTTGCCAAAGCTGTGGTTTTCAACGTGGCAGTTTCAGCAACGTTTTTGCCAGTTTTCGATATGTCAGCGAATTTGGCTGGCCACTATCTTTAATATCCATATTTTGTTTGATACGCATTGTTTTCAACAGTATACAAGGGTCTGTTTTGAAATATCAATATGTGACTGGCCGCTGTAAGTCGCCGCCACTTTCCTTTCCTGTCCCAAGCAAGGGGTTCAAACATCTTTGAGAAAACCAGGAAAGCAGCGGTTCGAGGAAGGATATTCAAATTTAGAAAGGCAGAAAATTCGAAAACATGGAATAGGCCACTTCTGTTCCCGAAAACCCCGTAAATTTGACATCTCGCCTCACGTCCATAGGAATTAGGATACCTAGTTGTTAAAATGTTATTTACGTATTTTAAATTACAAGTAACATAGTTTTTCAGGTTCTCATGATCACAAGTGAAAAGGTCAGACAAGGGCACAAACGTGAAAACATTGAAATTTTCCTTGGCGTTTTTCCGTCCTTCCTACGCTTTCTGATAACATGTGCGAACCTGGGCAGTGAAAGCTAAAAAAAGCAACTGTAGAAGTAAAATCAGGACAGTAGCGAAAGTAACTGAATAGATAAATACCATTGGCGAGCATGGATGCAAAATCTGCCACCACTCCCATTGTAGCGTCTAGGAAATCACACACTTCGTTGTCAAACATATTGCTCTCCTCTAAACTCGTTTCACACATGACTCCTCTGTGGTTGAAAAAGAATACTGAGGACTCGTATCACAGTACGCCTCTCTTATATACACGACTCCACGTGCGCGGGCATGTAGGTCAGTCACACGAGTGACGTCATTCTTCTAGTATCAGATGAAACCGGAACTAAGGAATCCTTCTGAGAATTTATCAAGCATACGCATGCTACAGCGAGAGAAAACTTCCTTTGCTCTAATCGTGAAAACGTTCACGCTTTGCCAAAGTTCAAGTGGGTTTTTGCTGATATTCTTTTGTTTCTTCGACGTGTATTCAATCAGGGTGGCGTGTGTTGATTTTGTCGGACTAGAAAAGGAGTACAAAACCGGAAATAGGTTTGCCAAAGACTTTTAAAATAGTTGAATTTGTCTTTTCCTGTGAATAAATTTTATTGATTACCTATCATTGCGAACAACAGTGTTTTTGTGGTGGACGGAACTTTTCCCTTTTATCTAGGTGATCATCTGAAAGACTTTCGGTGACATTTTTAGGCGATTAATAAGTTTACTGACTGGACTGTAAGCTGTAACGCGATTACCAAAACTTGGATCTTTTAAAAGGAGGTTATTAATTCGAGAAGCTAGGAGTACTAAAAGCTTTTAACACAGGAAATTAAAAGTTAGGAAAGAGTATCTCAACAAAAATGCCACACCCAAGGAGAACTTAGCACAAAGGTAACACAAGGAAAAAGATTTTGAAGAAACGGAAAAGATGAATAAAGCAAAGTTAACTCTCGTCAGTGTGGACGCCCAATTTATCGCTGTTGTCATAATAGCCGAACGTCTAAAATCCCAGTTCCGCTTTTGCTAATTAAAATAAATAGCTCGAAGAAAAACGAAATCTTGATTTTACGACGGTCAACACATCCGCCGCAATGTAAGAACTGATTTTTACTGAGTCTTACTGAGCCATCGGAGAGTGAAGTGATAAAAGTGAAAATAGAGGCAAGGTCAAGACGACTAAACAAAATCTATATTTACATACCCGCCCGTGTATTTCTTGGCTCTCAGACTTAAAGAAGCAGAGAGCCTATTAACTAAAGATCTGGGTGAATGATAAGTCACAGCAAAAAACAAATCTTTCTTGTTAGAGATCACAACAAGTACTGTTGCTTTTGGCAGTCCTGGAGTGGACTAACAAGTAACCCTGAACAATGAATTTGGGTTCACATCCAGACATAACAGATATTTCAAGTGTTACTTGCTTGCCTTAACGCTGAGTTTTACTTTGATATTCTCCGTTAGGATTCTTGGTGATATGCGCGTTTTACTCCTGTGTTATGATCTGATTCGAACTTCGAAACAAATAACGCAGGTTTATCCTCTACGAAACCCAATCAGAATCACTGACGTCACGATATAAGACTTGTTCTTTTCTGTTTCTAAAGATAACGTTCTTTGTTCCTCTCCGGCCCGTTAACTCCTTACCGTCGGTAACGAGACGGTTTTCAGATAAGAGATTTCCATGTTTGATTTAGAATTCTTCAGGCTAATTCTGTTGTAGTTTCCGTGGTAAGATGCTTTCGTGATGACCAATCTAAAAGGTGCAACGACTTGTTTTACACATGTTAACGCAGAGGAAATGTTGTTTTACCGCAAACAGAGGGAAAGTTGTTCTACCGCAAAGAATGTTGTTCTATTGCTTACAGAAAAAAACACTGTTCATCTTCCTGTTAAAGTAAGCCGTGACCGGTTGATTGCTTGTGTTTCTCTCACCTCTTAAACCCGTTTATTTTCACTGTCAACACTCAAAAATCCTGAAATAATACGATTCTCCCTGAAGATGATGAGTGTGTCCATTCAAAGAAAAACTACTAAGCAGTATTTACAGGAGTATTTTGTTGTTGGTGGTGTTTATGATGAGACCACGAGGCTCTTCTTTTATCGCCGGGAGTCCATGTATTTTACGAAAGAGAAAGGCGGGTCTGATCGTCTGTCGTCGATAACCTATTTTTACAGTACTTGACAACTTTCCCGACCCGGATTTTGCTAACCTGCGATCACGCGTTCTCTTTTTTAACAGCAAGTGTAGAGGTAGACGCAGCTTATGCCCTTTAGAAATAACGTTAGCGAGTGATTCGTTCATGGGGCACCATTTCTGTGGCAGTACTTTTCAAAGTAAGATGTATTTTTTTCGTTCCTCACTTTTAATCTTGTGCACTTCTTTGCTGTAGCCTCCTCCGCACATTCTCTTTGAGTTCGTCACACAATCTTTCTACACCCAATCCAAAGAAATTGAAAGAGTCAAAACATTGATGTGGCACGTGTTTGCACAATTCACACTGATATGCAGAGTGGAGTTGACCAGTATTAAAGCACTGCCTGAAATGAGTTACACTCTTTTTGTACGAATATTGTTTATTTGGCCCAGGCTAAATATTCTTATTTTTTGCCGATTTTAGGCTGAAAGGTCCTTCTGAATATTCTTAGATTATAGCTTATGACATTTCTGTTTTGGAAGGTATTGGGTATCAATTAGAAGTGTTTGGTGTCTAGATGGCCGGAGTTGAAGTAATTTTGGAGCCAGACTTCAGACAATAAGCCTGATGTGACACACATAACTTCTTCAGAAATGTTGTTAGCATTGAACATACGGCTAATGCTGTTTTTGTTGTTTTTATGGCTAGTTTTGCCGTTNAATTAACTCAAAATACAGTGACTGAACTCCTTTATTAACCGCAACAGAACTGAAACTTTTTGTCAAAGAAATAGGACGTTTAAAGTTCTTCGTTACTATTAGGATGTGTTTTTTTTTCTTTTCACTTGAACAAGCCAAAACGAGCTTTACAAACTCACTCGCCACTCCTTGTCTTATTTATTTAATATTTTTTTTGTATCTTTTTTTTACTCTTTGTCTTGTTTGCTCGTGCACGAAAACCGACATTCGAGACGAAAACTGCAAGGGCCTTCATCAACTTCAAGTTAAATCAGTAATAATAATAAAACATGCAATGTTTGTCGACGAGTCAGCTGCTAATGACTAAGCAGAAATGATGCAACAATGTAATTACATGTTCCTTCTAAGACGTTATAACCTGGTTATAGTTAAACTCAGTAGTTTGGTATTTTCGATTATACACAAATAGTTTGTAGAGGTTTACAATTGTTACCTTTGATGATATGTGATTGGATCTTGTAGCACCACTCAGCCTTATGCTTTTTAAACAGACTTGTATTTTATCAAACAAATTATGCATCACTGTTTATGTATTTACGCATGGAATGTGACCCCCCCACAACATACAATTAAGTAAGTGGAACTAATACAGAAGGGGAGTACTCCCGTAATTTTCGGATAGCTGTGCTGCGAAGGGTCTTAATACCCTGACCTTATTTCGGTAAGGATGAAGCAGACGCAAATTGATACCTTATTAAGGCACAAACCCGAAAAATGACACCCTGTTCAAGGGAGAATGGCGTGAACGGGTCCGCTTTATTTCGTTTCTGTAACATTGAAAGTTAACTCATCAAACATAGAATTTGTTTTTCGTTTGGCTGGGAATTTTTGCACTGGAATTTTAGCTGATTCAATCGAAGGATCACATCGGGAACCCAATGCCAACAGGACCAACGGGGGCAAAAATGATACCCCATTTAAGGACGGGGAACTTCAAAAACCATACCCTATCAATATATGGGAGTACCCCCCCCCGGCCATGTTACGGGACCATGCATCAGTGAAACCTAGTACAGTGGAACCACAACATCACAATACACACAACCACAAAGTTTACACGCCACATCAGAATTTGCGCTTCATCAAAATTACACAGCGCAATACAAATTTCCACAAAACGAAAAGCACGGTATTCCTCAGGAGAACTGATGCTTCTAATAACGTAAGGTTTTGCAAAACATTTTGGAACAAAAATGAGCGATACTTAAAATCTAACGACATTTCGACGACTCTATGTCATCATATCAAGTTCAAAGTAGATAATAGAATTGATTTTATGATGTACTTTGAATTTGATAATGATGACATGGAGTCATCAAAACGTCGGTCGATTCTAAGTATCGCTTCTTTTCGTTCTAAAACGAACTGATGTTTGTAGGTTAAAGAGAGCATTCGTGTGTACTTGGGTACGCTGATAACAGCTTGTTTTTCTAATTTACTGCACCTCGTTGTCGTTTTCGTCCGCACTTCCCGGATACGTGAAGGCACCCTGTGATGACGAACTGTTCCCCTCACTGTTCTCTTCGGTCGGGGAGTACGTATCGGGGCTTGGAGAAGAGAGAATGTCCTCAAGAGATGAAGCCTCCATGCGCTGATTAAAGAAGAACAATGTGAAATACAGTTAAGGTGTGCATACAACAAAATAAGTCCCATTCTCGTCCCCAGTGACCGCGCTCCTTTTGGTCAGCACTGAGAATCGCGACCTCTGGGCTGGTCCAACACCGGAAGTCGGCGATTCACGGACTTCCCGTCACTCTACGCATATTCAGAGTCAAGTCTGACAATCTGATTGGCTGAGAATACGAAACGATTACTCTGCTCGTGCTCGGAAAATTGGACCTTCCTAGAGGTCGCGAGTCTTTGTGCTGGCCAAAAGGAGCGCGGTCTCTGGGGACGAGAATGAATGAGTCTTACAACAGTGAAAACAAATAACAGCCTCGATATGACGAGCAGATGGCAAAGGGCTTTGTCCTCAAGTTTTTCAAGTAAAGTGCTGTTATGAAGGCGTGCCCATGAGAATAAACCAAAATAAAAGTACGAAGAAAAAGTGGGAAGTGTGTAAAGTAGCGAAAGTGGCAAGCTTTCAGAACGTTTTAGTCCAAGAATACTACAAGCAACTAATAATAAGCAAATTTGTGTACGAGATACCGTTGGAAAATGCATCTGGGGATAAAAAGAAACATTTTTCAACAAGTGCAAGCAATTACAATGTCTGTTGGTACTTTAAAATTCACAGTGCATTGTTAGTTTAAGTCTCTCACCCCCACTCCCCCCTCCCCCTCCCAAGAGTGTCATGTGGCACAAAATGCGATTACATGTTCAATATTTGATTAGTTTGTATCAAATTTGAACAGCGTAATGTCTTGGATAGATCTGTCTTTTGAAAGCATAAAACCTTACCCTTACATTTAACAGTAACCCACACATCAAGAGCTGCAACTATAGGAGGACTGAGTAAGATAGTTTTAAACGTTTTTTGTTTTCTGGTCCTGATTGCTTCTAAATTCAAACTGTGACCTCCCCTATGACTGTTAGTATGATTTAATTTATTATACAAACAATACTTTCAAATGGTATATTAGGTATGATCTTTGGGTCTGTAATTATCATTTAAAAATAGTGGTATTCCACCTGGGATTGTAAGGGTTAAGAACCATAAGATTTCAATCTCAGTGCTCTTTTACAACCTTTGTAAAGACGACAGGTTGTATTTCTCATAACTAACAGTAGTTGCCTGAAAGGAACTATAAATCGTTTGCGTTCGAGACCTTTCACAGTTTTTCGAACGTGAAAAAGGTACATGTACACTTTGACGCATTTCTTAGGTCAGTGAAGATAGATTGATTTAAATTCTGTATCGTATAATGTGATCTAAAAATGACGGAATGAAGCCTCTAAATGATTGAGTCTGGCCGAAAACAACAACTGGGCGGCTTGAGTGGATGATTGGAAAAAAGAATTTTCTGTCGAAACCGCGATGATTGTGTAATTTTATAAAATATGTAAAATGACTTGCGTTTAGAGACAGATTATAGTACATGTCCGGAAAAGTTCACGCCTCTAATATTCAACGTTTCAACAACTACTTGGTGCTTCCGTTCAGGAAAAAAAGATGAAGGCCTTTTTAAAATAAAACCCTGTTTGTCATGTTCCTCAAGATTCCCTAAGTTGAACTAGTCATTTTGGTGGTGGAAAAACGGAAAAGAGAGTAAGAAACAATGATAAAAAGTTTTAAATCTAGATCGGGCATGTCAAAATAACAAGATTAAAAGGGAGGTTTTTCAGTGTCGACTTGATATTCTCAATCTTTAAAAAGAAAACCGTGCCAGAAAAATGAGAAATGACAGTACTACGAAACGATTTCAGAAGCTTGTGATTGAAGGCAAAAGAGCCTCTGTACAACTCTTTCCCTCCAGTTTCCGTAAGAAATCGATGTAACCAACTCAGAAACTTTGTTCTGCTTGTTTTGTTGATTATTATTGTTGCACAGACAGTGTCCTTGCATTGCCATCCAAAAAGCCCTAGTGCGCCAGGTGACACTTGTAATTTGGCAGAAGAGGCCGGGAATAGATATTAAATCCACTTACGTGTGTTGAGACAATTTTTGAGGTGATGGAGAGAATCTAGACAAGCGCATAGAAACTCCTACAACATTCGGGTCAAACTTCCATTGCAGAGAGTCAGTGCTTAGCCCTGGCATGCCTCACTGGAGAGACTAAAGTTCGTGTAAAAGCTACATCTATCACTCCGTTATTGCGTTTAATTACTTGGTATATAAACAGTACTTCTATACTGTAGACACCTTGTTACAAAGAAAAGTTTTAAATTCACCTTGGCTGTGCCAGAGAGACAATAAATCATATTCTTGTATTCTCTCTTCATTTCGGCCACCGCAATCTTAACAAGCTGTATATCCATCAGTCCTAAGGCCTTAGGCTGTATCCGGCGGACGCCAAATTATTGTGGAAATTTTATTTCCTTGTCGTCAAACGGCAATGCCAGTTGTAATATACTATCATTTTTCTTGTGAATCATAGTAATATTTGGACTGATGGCCAAATGTTTGCTCCGTGACCTGAAGCGACTAATATTTCGGCGTGAAAGAATGCTCTGCTAAGTGCTTAGTAAATTCTATTCATTAATTTTGCCAAATTCGTGGTCGCTTTTCTTTTCAAATTTGTGTTGTTAGAAAATGAATCGACTGCATCAAAATGCTTTTCATCGAACGGGGATAACTCGTTCTTATTAGTTTGTTTTCTTTTCAACAAAATCATTTCATCCTTACCTTTTCCGGTGTTTTTACGATAGTCATGATCGCTCAAAGTGGCCGTGAAGAAAAACTAAAAAACAGCGCCAACTGAATAAATAGACCAGTTTTAAAGCTGCTTTTTACCAAAATCCTATCACTACGAGGGGACGTTCGAAGCTGTCTCCTGCTGGGGAGGGAGTTAAACCGTCTACAAGTTCTTTCGAACTTCTTCTGGCGCCTTCGTCATTTATTTGTACGTGAGAGTTTTTGTCCTCACCCACTCTGTAGATTCCACGCGCGGCTAAACGACCGTCAACTGGCGGCGCGATTTGCACATTTATAAATACGAAATTAGACATATTAACTTACGTCTAACATAAGTAGCCACGTCCCTCCCATATGGCGTCTTCTTTTCAGACCCGTCTCCATACTTTCATCCACTGTTGCTTTCTCAACAGGAATTTTTTGAGTTTAGCAACTTGCGCCTTCTTTCTCGCTCAAAGCAAAGCTATAATAAACGATGCTATCAAGCGTTTTGATATCCGACCATTACGCCTACCCTGCCACTTAGCATTAAAACCTGCGCGGTCACGAACAGTGTCACATGAAGGGCCGACATAACTCCATATATTAAGCTTTGTAGGAATAGAATGTTTGGTTTATTTTGGTTCGAGTGTCGTAGTTGAGATTGGTGGTGTTTTAATGACGCCAGTGGCTATTAACCCGTAGTGAAGTGTTTACAATATTCATGTTCATAGAGAGGTGTATAATTAGCGAACACACCCGAGGCAGAAGAATATAGATACTTGTTCCGCTGGTTTGTAGCTTTTGTCTTACGGACTAGTGCTTCCTTTTGATAAGGAATATTAGAATAATCATAAGCTTTGCTAGAGGTGTCGGACGGCAGTTGTTTTTGTCGGCTAGGGTAGGCTTATGCAGATCAATTCGGTGAATTCTTGCATTATGATTGCTATGATTGAACTAATATCGAGAGATGAGATTTTCAATTTCAAAATAGAATCTTAACCCAGCCGCCTTTGCACGATTCTGCCCCAGAGATCATTGAAGTTCGATTGAGCAATCAATTCAACAAGCGCACGTAATCTCCACTTCAGTGTCTCGATACTCGTTAGTCATATGAACGTTAATTAAAATACTTTCCTTTGTGCGTGTGGTTTGTGATGGCCTGATTAAAATGTCAAGGTCTTCCGAAGGAAGTCAGGATATTTTTGTGGCTTTCCGCCCGATCGCACTCGGATGAGAACTGAAAGTTTGCACGGATCCTCGGTGATGTGGGTTCGGTGATCGTGAAAGATGGTGGCCGAACGGGAGGACTGATAACGAAGATTAGGTGGCGGTGACATTACCCTGGTGCCAAGGTTCGCGCGGCCAAGAGAATGTGGGATTGCAGAAAACCACTGTGATACTTGATTGTGTCTCACAAATAAGAACAGAACGTATTTGTTTCATACCTTTCGCCATTCCACACCTCATTCAGCGTCTCGAAGTTTTTGGAATACAAGAAAATGACGAGAGAAATGATCCGGCCTGGAAAGCGCTGACAAGTTTACGAAAACAAAATTCGGCTATGCAGAAGTGCAGCAGCTCTCGTAAGCGTGTAATTTCTTTTGCTTGTGAGCAGGGGCATTGTTTCTGCTTTGTTCTATTGTTCTCTCAAAGGGTTCCAAGCCATTCATGTGAGACCTTACGAGCTGCTCTCCGACACAATCTTTGAGCCGAGGTGGACAGAAGTAAAAGTTCAGCTCTACGCAGTTCACCATAGAAAATAACTTCTAGCGCCAGCGCTTTATAAAGGATGTATTTATCTGCCCTCTATGTTATACAATCTCGGTATTGTACACCAACATAGCGGCCATTACTGTGATTAAAGGTGCTCGACATAAAGTCGGTAGAGTTTTGGCATCAATATCAGCGTTTTGGTTGTCATGATGCAGACGTGCTCATGCCTTTTCCAGGGGGTGGTGGGTGAGGTTAGGCTGTACAATGTGTATCCTAAGAGGGTAGGGGTGAATAAGCGAGTAGACAAGTTCCTCATATCACTCAGTGACAGCCTAAATAAGCTATGTGAAAAATAACGATAAATAATTGGATTACTTGATCAATTAACATCACTCGTACTCACAGACAGAATTTCCACGTAACTCATCGGCTTTGTGATAAACGGAGTTCTTCTGAACGAGCTGGCTGCAAAGATAAGAATAAGTGATTAGTGAAGTGTGGCCATCCGGTCGTACAGAGAAGTAACTGATATGGCATGGTCTGGAAACACATCGATCGTGTCTCGTATTCGGACCGAGGAAAGTAAGACATGAAAGCCTTTTAAACGGTGTGGCATCTTGCATCTTGGCCAAAATAACTCAAAATACCGTGACTGAACTCCTTTAAGCCCGACTGGCCCATAGCTCTCGATACGGGACCCTAGTTTCTTTAGTATGAAGCGGCTAGGAGTATTTCTATTCCCCTGGATGGAATGCTACGTCCATCGCAAGCTGATCCTCAGCATTCCACCGGGTTCTCCGGCCCAACAATTCGCGAAATAAAATATCGACTAAACAACATGTGGCGAAAAATGCCAAAAGAGAAGTCAACGATGCATTCGTCTTGTTAGTTAACGTACAGTTATCACTGAAATCAAGCTGATTAAAAAATCTGGAAACGTGGCTGGTTGCGAGTGCTTTAATTGGATGGAATGTCGATATAAAAGAGGCCTCAGATTCTAGGACACTTCTGACGAGCCAAGCCAACCACCACGAGTGCTCATTATTTTGAGGTCTAACTGCCAAATAAACGCTACAAGAGAAAATGTGGTTTATTTTGCCGCTATGATATGAATTGTATTGTAGCAAACAGAAGGAGAACAACTGTATGTGAGCGAAATTAATTAATGTGTAAAGACAAAAACAAACACATCAAGGTTAACTACCAATGAACGAGTATAGTCTTTGTGAGGATCACCGTTTTAATGCAGTAGTTATATATTCCGTGAACAATTTTTTTTAATCATCAGTTTTGATCTAAGTCAACCTAGTGCACTTCTCAAACGCTAAACACTTCTAATTCGATTTAACGCATGCCAAGTATTAGCTTTATAATTCTTCCCATTTTCCAAAAAGAAAGAAAACAACACATAGCATTGCAGATATCGATGTCGTTGTCTTAACAAACAGCAGAAAAGAAAAATTACAACAGCAACTGACGATGAAGGAGATTCTGACCATGACTGGGACAGGACTCCTTGGCTGACAATATTCAATGGAGAGAGAGAATCGAATAAGGGTTACTACTAATATAGCACAGAATTTTGCAAGTATTTCTCCGTCATATATGGCCAGTAAAATTTCATTAAAGCTGTCGACCTTAACGTTCTCTGTTTAAAGTAAGAAAAACAGCATAACGTTTCCAGGCGTTTGTGAAACTGCACTTGATGATTATGCAATACCTTTCAGTGCAAAACTATAACTTTGTTTAGTGAGGAGGTTTGTTTTAATATTTCAAATCAACAGAAATTTCCTTTGAAGTTTAACCAGCCATTATTTTGTCTTCAGTAATGTTACTTCTATAAAACGCATCTCAACTGACTAATTGAGACAACTTACAGTTTGTTTTTAAAGCAACTGCAGCTTTTTTCCAGGGTTGCTTTGTCACTGTAGCCTCATTTTCAACTAACGCCGAACACAGATATGCGACCATGTTTGTGAAAGTCCACGGAAAAAACTGTTTTGTTTCCTGTTTGTGGCGTAATAAAACAAGGGAGTCGGCATCTGCACATCTGCATTGCTGAAAACGCTTCACGTACAAAGGTCGTGCAAAGCTATGTTACTCGTATGTTACTTGTATGTATTCGTATGTCACTCGTATGTTACTCATTTGTACTCGTATGTTACTCGTATGTACTCGTATGTATTCGTATGTACTCGTATGTATCCGTATGTTACTCGTATGTACTCGTGTGGTGTTTTAGTCAAGATCCTTTAGCCGACCTGCCACAATGTGAAATTAATTGGATTTATTTCCGGTATTCAGTTTACGCTAATGAATGAGTTTTCCATCAGGCGTTTAGGTTTTCATCGACCGTGCCTCGTGGAAGACTGTAGATGCCATCCCGTTGTCTCCAATACCTGGAGAGATTTTGTTAACACATAGTAGCAAGGTAAAGCAGGGAGCGTATGTGTAATTATACTTATCAACGACGTACTTCAGATAGAATTTATAGGATCAGAATGATTTAAAATACCCGAAAAGGAATTGATACGAGCGCAATGTGCAGTTTCGCGCTGACAAGACAATTATTCGTACGGAAATCGTAAGTTATCAGAATTATAACCTAACTGGAGTTCGCAGGAGGGAAATAAGTCGATTGTATCATGTTGTAAAGTAAATAATCTATTGTCTCAACTTGAACGAATCATTTTCAAGCTGCAGTAATATAAACCTGTTGTTGCGTGCATTTTATAGTAGGTAAAGTGGGTCGAGTTGTGTAGTGTCGGACCGCGATGACGTCAGTGCGGGCAGAACATTGACATATCATGAATTCAACCCTCCATTGATGTGGTGAACCTTTTCTCAGTGCATTTTTGAATAAACTCGGTACCTCGTGAAGAATTTGAAGACTGTTGTGACAGTTTGCAATTTTCCATTCCTTAAGCGGAATTTATAATGTAATCAAAGTGAAAAAGTATACCACTTGAAAATCCGTCAGCCGTCATCATCAACCGTCATCTCTATTTGGGTCAATGTGGCCCAATGTTGCAACATGAGGCAGAATGTTACCGCTTATGTCGATAAAAGAACGCTTCACTCTACAGATATTAACTGTCAAATCAGGGGAAACCTTTGCTAATAAAGACGTGCAAACGTCAATGCTTTCCGATTGACCTTTGTTTAATTCATTGGCCAAACAGTCATTGATTGCTAGCTCATGTCTCACTTCGTGCTCGGCCGATGGTTCGGAAAGGAGGCATAGTTTCTGCTCATTACAACCCGCACAGTTAATCCTCTTACGTCGACTCTTCGCAATTGCTTGCACTAAATTGCCGCAGTACAGTTGAGCGGTGATCTGATGATTGCTAAGCTGAAAGAAAGAATCGGGCAGAAATAATTGTCCCGAAGGATCGAATGTAATCTATGCAATGTGAACATAAATACGATGTTTACATCTCCCGACAAAGAATTCATCCATTGATAATAAGCTGAAGGATAGATCTTGTTAATCGCTTTTCTCATTCGATTACATGTTGTTAGTAATGCTTCTTACCTCGAAAGGAAGCCTAAGTCAGTGTGTCTTTCCCCAGGAGGAGATGGTAACACAGAGAGAATGTGAATTTACACACGCATTCGGTCCGCAAGACGGTGAATTCATTATGACAAGTGACGAGCGAATTTCCGTGCTTGGTTTCCTCTTGGTTGCATGTTTCTCAGGTCTCGGGTTAAAAAGCAAGGTTAAAAGATCCAAGAAAGGCAGTTTAAAATCCCGGATATGAATTAATATTGCACGACATCTTTTGGCAGGCCCTATGCTCAGCAGCTGAACGAGCAATAATAAGGTCTGCAGATCAGAATACTTGTCTATTTCCAGGGCCGAGGTGGATTTCAGCCGTGTGATTGGTCAGTGCTTTTGTTTGAAGGTATTTAAGATGCGTAGTTTAACAGATCTAACAGACAGGAAACATTAACAGTCTTAACACTTGACATATTTCTATCGATCGGGTGGCATTATTTTTGTAAAGGATAAACGGAATGTTGTTTATTACATGGAGTAATTAAAAAGTTATGTTCGACCGCGGACGAAGTCGTTTAACAATAANATTAGCATACCGGCGCAAGAAATAGTCGCAAAGGACGTCAAATCCGAGAAGACGGCTAAACCCAATTCAAACTGACCATAATCTTTTCGTGTAAACAACTTGTCACGGAAAGATTCAAGGTCAAAATCAATTCATCAAGGAGTCAAAAATAAAATATTGAGTGCAAAAAAAGAGGTGATAAAACGATAACTGATTTGACGCTGATTAAGAAAAAAACGGGAACGGGCATTGAAAATGGACATTCGATTTTTCATTCCATAATGTTTCCACTGAATAACATGTCGGAAATAGAGTGGTAATCCGTTAAATGTATTGAACATTCAGAATATTTGAACCAGTCGAGTATCACGTTCTGTACAAATAATTACAAACCAACAGGTTTTGTCCAAAGTGAAATGGAAACTTATCTCTTTAACTGCCGAAAAACAGCAGGAAAAGAAGCTTACATAACAGAAAATAGCACCAGTTAAAGGATTTAGTTACTAACTAAAGTAACTTCTACTGAATATAACTTCGTCATTCTCAATCTATATTTTGGTGTGATATTGTAATTACCAGAAGACGGGGTTAACAGAAATAATAGGTCAGCAACGTTTGTGAAATTGACAAACTTTTTTTGTTACGATAGAATTTATTCGCAAAAGTCGTCACGTACTGTAAAGTGTAGCGAACAAATCCTTGGGCTTAGCTTTGCTAAAAGGGCTTCTTCTCTGGGTTTTTCATGTCAGGAAAGGGGATTACAGTTGGTCGGTCGTCTTTATAAAAGCTTTAGGCTTATAATATTAATATCATGCAGTATGCTGCCAACCTGATTTAGCTATCAAACATTTCGAAACATGACATAAACCACAAAAAAAAAAACTTCGACACAGTCGTTGCAATTGAATGAAGATGACAAAACTCTCGGGTATGAACGTAACACAGGTTCTACAGTCGGTGACTGATGAAAATGATAAAAACGGGACATAATAGATGCAACGATGATGAAACACAAATTAGCAAACTCCAAAGGTGAATCATTCTTTAAAGCTAAACATAACCCTAACCCCATTTGTGGGGTCAGCCGGGAAGCATTACCCGAGGGGCTCAGTTTATGCCTAATAAAAAAAGATGTAATTTTTTTGGAATTATTTTCGATGAGGAAAGCTTCATCGTGTTCATATTTCGCACGATTACAGATCTCTGGTCCATAGTCAACAACCGTCACGTTTTTATTATCTTTTCTTTTTGCAACAGGAGTCTGTTTTTGCCGACTTGAAGAAAACAATTTGACAGCAATAATACGTGAGTACTTGTGTCTGTTTCTATTCTAAAAGGAGCCCACGAGTGTTTTTGTGGCTAAGCGTTTAATACTGACTGGTAAAAACAAAAATGTACGCCGCAAAATCTCTCATGAATGCCGCCGAAAGCTCGCGATTATAAAAGCTTTCGCGATAAGCTGTTTCGATTTGTACAGCAGTCTTTTGTAGAGCATTTGAACTCACTGAGTGGTACAGTGTACAAAAGGCCGACCTTTTGTAGACTGCATGAATAGAGGGAACAGTAAGTTATCCAACTTTTTGTAGAACTGATTAGCTACAGTATAAACCAAGCGACAAACTGACAGAATTACCCCAAAAAAGTGAGATCGACTTTCTTAGTTTACCCCAATCATTTTGAAACTCTTCTCTCCTATACAACCCAGTAACTTGCCACCTTAAGTGTTTTGATAGTATTGAGACTTGCCTTTACTCGATTTCCAGAAGCCCAATCTTCTTTTCTTCGGTTTTGGCGGCAAAGTGTAAGATCCCGTTGAACCCAAGCGATGGAGTTTGTGCGTGAAATGAAACACACACCATACTGAACACATGTTGAACTGACTTGTCCGGTTGACAATTCAATGTAAAAATACTGATCACTGACGACGACCGGCTGACTACATCGACTGATGGTCTCACGTACGTGTTGTTTCAGCGAGTGGATGTCGGACTACATCTGCTGTGGCAGATATCTCGCCCAGACGTGGCTTTGGACAGCGATAAATTCTTGAAATATTAGGAAGTGATACTTTGTTTAGACAACCGTGTTACTATTGACGTACTGGCCCGTGGTTTAATGCTTGATAGCATTACAAGATGAAAAGAATTACTCTCCTTGGTAATAGCCACATCTTTCTTTTGACCCTAGTTTTGAGAGTCTGGAAAAGGATCAAAAGACAAGCTCCATGTTGATGATTTTCTAAAATCTCTTCACCTGTCCCTTGGACAATGTGTAGATCTTAAAAGGAGAATTTAAATGTCGACCACCCTTAAAAGTATTAAGCTATAGATTGATTGTCCGAAGATGTTGACACGGCTGGCTTAGTTTTTCGGTTATTTTTGATGTTTTCACCGTCACAAATACCTTTTTTATGCTTCTTAATAGGGACTTTTCCGCAACATATGATATCTGAAATAATCATTAAAGTAAACAAAGTATGAATAAGAAATAAGTAATAAATAACGAAGTGTTTAAACAGGTAAGAAACTGTTAAACAAATGTGCGTTAAAATTTGCTAATCCGTCGAGAATAAAGTGCGAATATTGTCTCTATATTAACGCGACTGAGAAGTTACGCAAAGGATTTGCGATTAGTCGGAAAATGGTATTTCAGCTGAGTAAATAATGCTATCTTACAGGCGAGTTGCTCGTTGCAGCGAGAATTAGGGACATTCCGACAAATTATACTCAAAAGCAAAACAGGAACAGGAACGTCAACAAATATAGCAAATGAGACGTTAAACAAACTCTGAATGTAGCTGAACTTTGTGACAGGTGCTCGACATTTCCTTCATAGTCAGTAGTCTAAAGACAGCTCGTATAAATTACGAGAAACGTTTAGCATGTGACCAGCGACCACTCCTGTACACAACTCAAAGTATTCCGTATATCGGATTGAAACTAATGTTATTCATCGTGGAAACCTTTTTGGAATTTCTTATCCCTAAGTACTGTTAAAAGCTTTCGTTGCCGCCAAGGGATTATCATCGTGAGAACGTAACACTTGTTGGCCTTCTGTTAATTCTATTAGCCTAATTCCCTCCCGATTCAGTGTCGTTCTCAGAACTAAATACGTTTATAATTATGTATTTTTTTTTAAAATTTACTTTTGAAAATCTTTTTTTTTTAGTTATTACTCAGCCATGAACTTTTGTTTGACTACTAGCCAGGCGTAGAAAATTGGTGTTTACATCACATCCGTGAAAAGAGGCGACTTACGGAGAGAAAAAATAGCAAGTACAGCCCACGACAGTTGAAGAAAATCAACGCAGGATTTTAATTGGTGTAAAAAAACACGTCTTCCGCATAGCTACGCGTAAAGGCTTTTTTTTTGCCCCAAGGCAAAGTATGCGTGGGTGTCCGAGTTACGACACAGGAGCGGGGCATATTATGCCCTCTTCAGTGTGAGACGCCGACATTTATCTGCTCAGCCAATCAGAGCATTTGTAACCAGAAGCTACTTTTAAATTCCAAGTGACGTTTGCTTGCCTCACTCCATGGTATGGCGATAAGAACTTCTCCAGACAGGAAAAAATACTAGTTTCCTAGCTTTTAATTCGTTTCAGGAAATTTTTAATCCCTTCTTGTTAGTGTCTGATTAAGGTCGTAATTGTATTGGGCGTCTGTGTTATTTTTGTAGAAAAAAATAGAGCAGATTGTTTTTCTAGTTACTGCAGGTTATCACGTACGACTGCGTTCGCAAAGATTCCCATGATTGCAACTTTTCTGAGACATGTTACGCAAGAGGTTTCGCGCCAGATTTGGGAACACTCGGCTGTTAGGTCAAACGCTGCATGTCGACTCTTTGGGTATTTCGAAGAGTTGTTTCTATAGTTATTCCGAAAATAACTCAGCTCAACTTTAGCAAGATTGATAGATTTCATGATAGAGTAATATTTTTGTCTGGGAACGCCTGAACAGTGATCGGCTTTTTCAGAGTGGGGTATAAATACAATACATTAAGCTCTTGAAATGTGAAATGATATTCTCTTTATTTAAAGAGATTTGCCTTATCCCTGATCAAAGTACAGATGATTTAAATAAGCGCCCTCCTTCCAATAAGCGCCTCGTCTATGACGTCAAAAATATAGTGCAGGCTTCAGGGATTAAAGACAAGCACTTACTGGCTCCATGTTTGCTTTGTCCCAGGGCTCAACGATTGAGAACCAGCATTTTGGAGCTCTAAGAAGAGATAGCTTGGGTTCGAGATTTCGAGAGCTAAACAGTGTTTAGACGTATAGACTGTAGACTTCGTAAATAGGACTGTAGCAAATGCAGTCAGTAGCTGGCAGTGTGATCATGACTATCAGGGGCGGGTCCAGAAAATTCAGGTAGAGGCCAGGAGGCCGAAACAATTGCGACAGAGAAACAGCAACTTTATTCACTCGCACATTTACAGTTTTTTAAAAATATATACTAAATTAAAGAACATAAAAATGTACAATTTGAGTCTGGAGAATGAGGTAACCCGAACGTTTTCTAGTCAGTCTCTAGTTATTGTAATGTTTCCATAAGAGAATGCAGAACTTAAGATGTGTACATAGTATAATAGAATGGAGAAAATCAAAACAAGTTTTCAGAATGGTCAGAATGTTGTTCAGACAGTAAATAAAATTTCAGTTGTTTAAAGAAGTTGAAGGCATTGAGATCTTTAAGGTTGCTGGGGATATTGTCCCAGAGAATAGTCGCTGTGTAAGCTATTGTTTGTTTTCCTGAATTGGCACGCACTTTTGATATGTATAGATTTTGTTTGGATGCATATCTGGTATTTTATACCATGCCATAGAAAAATACAGCCAATCAGAATACATGAAAGCCATTGTATTACATCCAACCTTCCCATCATGCGCCGCGACGGTATGTCGTATTGATTGTGTTGACCAATGTTGACCACATTTTCTTTGACATGGTATAAAATAGTTGTGGAACGCTCTTTCGTGATGTACCACGGAATATCCCACTTGTTAGCTGAATTTTCAGTCTTGGTATACCCACTTGCCTAAAGGTTTGTGTGTATACGGAGAAAATTCAAATGACTCGTGGGATATTCAAAGGTATACCACTAGAAAAGCGTTCCATTACTAGAGTGTATCCGTGTACTGAAGAAATTGGGAAGAATGCGGAGCGGCAATACCTCAGAACCCCATCACCGTCTTTGTCATTTGCAGTTCTTTGCGCTGCTTCTGAACGACTGAATAAACCTAAGGCCTGAAAAAGGCTGGATCTGATCAGACACGGTGATGTACAGCTTACAGACGGACAAACAAAACACTCGATATACAGCGGAAGATATCTGTCATTGCCAAAAGCAATTTGTTTTGAATAATTTAAGAACAATTCCCCTACAAAACTCAATAACAGCCTGAGGAATAACAACTGGGGCGAAAACATCTACCAATATACAGATTCAAATGACGGAATTCTGTTTGAAAATGACAACGGGGGGCCTTTGTAATTCGTTTTTTCCAAGGATAAAAACCATGAATGCATTAATTTCGTAGCATTTGTGCAACTCTCGTGAAAAATGTATGTAGTTTTGAGTTCACATGGAATTATAGAGGGGTTATTTCAAAGCAATTGTTCAATTTCGATGTAAACTTAATGTTAATTTCGAATTCTGATTTCTAATCTAGTTGTTTAAAGAAGGAGACAACCATCTATTCAAATCATTTGGAAAACTCTGGGGAAAAGAAATCCATTTTAATTTAAACGCCGTTGAATTATTTATTTCTTCATGGCTCATGTCAGCATCGAAATCATTAAAATTTAACGAAAGAGCAAATATTGAGAGTTTTGCCCTCGACATAAACAGTTTTTAATTTTTGATCGTGAACTCGATCGCAACCTGAGTAAACGTGATGCAACAAGGAAAAATAACACGTGGATCTGCGATTGACGGTTATGCCGAATGTACCATGTTGCATTGTTCCTGATCAAATGTTTACGAGTTGTAAACCAAACACTTTTATCTCAACCAATCATTTTCAATTGAAATCCGTCTAATTGTTGTCGCGCAGTAAGTTAGGTCAGCTTTTGTCAGTGGCCCAAAATTTGCATACGGGAAGCGTTGTTTTTCCCGGCGTCATACATGAGATTTTGGGGGAACACAAAGCTGGTGTTCAAAGCAATTGACCTGAAAATAAGTCTGCCTTAACAGTTGGCCTTGTACTGGCGTAAAGAATACCACCAGATTTAACGTGGAGAGGAAACACTTTTTGACGGCTATGTAGATTCTAAGCTATTCCGCGTTTGAGATCAATTGCCAACAGCCATGATCAGTGACTTTTCGCTCGGCTACGGTTACCTTCCAGTTTGCTGGGCGCTTTTCACATCTTTCACGTTTCTGTTATGCTACGGCATCGCCGTTTCGCTTGATCACATCTACCCGTTCGTTCCCGCCATAAGCGACACGGGCGCCAGGATCCCCGAGGCAAATATCTTCTCGGAGTTCTTCAATTTCTCCTTGGTGTTAATGGTGCTCAGCCTGTTTGTCCGCTACCTTCAGTTCCAGATGTTGACGCAAGGCCTGGACTCGGCAGACCGTCGTCTTGACCGTTTCAACAAGCTGGGTTTGGGCTTTGGTCTTGTGAGCGCGTTTGGCGGCTCAATCATCGCTAACTTTCCGTCAAACGAGGTATGTTCAGTTTCACTACGTTCCCGCGAAAACTTATCGTTGTTTTCACTTTATATTTATACGAAACATCCCCTATTCCTTGCGTGGAATGATATATTTTGCTTGTTAATGGAATTATTTTATTTTGGGTGTTGACTCTGTATTTACTGGAGATTTCTAACAAGTTAAAATAAAACCCACATGTCGAAAATCTATGAGCGTAGAAATCGCATTTTAATCGTATCTGTGTGTCCTTTTAACAATTTTTATATTAACTAATCAAAAAAGTACACAAATCGACGATACTTTCACTCGGTGACATTTTTTAATGGAAATATCAGTGAAATTCAGCTCCAAATTTATTCTAATTTATGCAGCCTAATTGATTTAATTTCCTTTCGGAGTGGATCTACTGATAGACAAATAAACTGTCTATTGTTTCTTTCAGTTGCACAGAGGACAATTATGTTCAGTATAGAATCAGGTGCAAATAATTCATTCATTCAGTCTCACCGTTCCGCAGTTAGCGCGAACTCCGTTTATAAAGTGTCCAGTGATTTGAATCACAAAACCGATGCTCATCTTTGCGAAGCAAATAATTTTCTTGAAGTGACAACAATTTACATTCAGTGACGGTCGGTACCGTGTTAAACAAAGATTAAATTTTATCCACCTTCGAAACTACCAGTTGACGCTATTTTCTTCGAGTCGAAAAGAGCACACTTCCAGGAAAAACTTCAGAGAAATTCAAACTCAAAGCAAAATAGCAAATATAAGAAAATTCAAAGTTGGAAATTAGAGGAAACTGTGGGCGTTGTTTTCGTCTGTTAAAGCTGCCTAATTTTCAATTCTAGTTAACACTTTATTGCGATATCAGATAATAAAACGAAAAGGAACGTGGCGTTTTAAATGCTTTTTTCGTGGATGTGTTGCCGAGTATTGGTTCGTATATGTCAGCCATTTACATAAAAGAACTGTCTTATATTCTTGTTGATTAAGTCAAGACTAGTGGAGCGCAATTCTGCGTGAAATATTCTTGTAGACGTTTATTCAAAAGTCCATAACGAAAGATATATCATATTTGAAAAAAAAAAACACTTTTTCTCGCCCGTCCATGTTATTAAAGTTATCATATAACAGGTTTGTCCGTTTTAGGTTGAAACGAATTTACCGCATAAACCTGAAAATTTTCTTGTTGTTTTATTTCTCTTACAATTATTTCGTTGCCTGGGGTTTTGCGGCCTTGTGTTTTCCCCTCACCGAAATAGTATATGTTTAATTCAAAGGTTAGGAGGACTGTTGAATAACGATAATTAATGTTGCTACATAGATTTCTGTCTAAATATCAAACAACTACCTCCAACAACAACAAAAGAAAATCCGACAGAAAATGTGTTGATAATTTTACAAGTAATTGTGGTTCAACGTTTTATTTTCATATCTCATCTGTTGCCACGCAGTAAAAACAAACATATTTCTTTTCCTGTCATAAAGACGCACAGAACTTGATTCTTTCTTTTCCTACCCCGTGGGGAATATTTTCAGAATCTTAAAAGCAATTCCTCAAGTTGGTCAACCTTACCAGTCAATTACCACGCTCTTTAAATTTACGCAAACCCGTTCGAAGTTAAAGGAAACTCATTGGACGAGATCGTTTTATATGAAAGTGTAAATTGAAACCACCACCTATCAGTATAGACGTTAAAACTAACCAGAACGAATTAGTTATTAACAATTACGAATCTTGGGTGAGGTTATTTTCACTGAAATCTTAAATCGGTGGACATGTAGGATATTTATGAACATATGCAAGGAAAGTTCTCCGCTCTATGTTGAGCTCGCTGAAGGACTCAGCACTGTAAATAATGTTTCACCCAGCTGTCTGGTAGTTCAACCACCATACGGAAAGAGTTGCGCCCGGCATATGCTTTAAATTCGACACTTTCATGCTGTCTTTTAGCCGAGTTTGGGGCCGTATATGAAGATGATTATGAGGAAAAATTAAGTAAGAAGCTGAATCTAACAATCATACCCTGCCGTAGCACCAAGCTATTTATCAGGATAAAGATTAAGGAGACTAAAGGATTTCCTGAGAATCACAACATAGACATCAGTGAATCCCAGGTTTAGCTTGCATAACCCACCTGTGTACTTTAATTACAAGGTGACTCTTTCTTTGGATTTGGAATAACATTTAAAACACATTCATCATATACTATTTGCAATACGTTTACAACAAAAGTGCTAAAATACTAACCTAATGCAAGTTCTTTGCTGGCTTAAGTAGATACGCTACAAACAAGTTTTGTAAAAAAAAAAAAAAAAATCAAAAAAAATTAACGTTCATTTCTTTTTTTAATTACTATAAACAACATATATAATCAAAAAGAGGTGAAAAATATTTTTTACGAGTAAATACGTTATTTTTGACTTGTGAGAAGCATATCTTACATGTGGAATATTTTAAATTAACCCCGAACAAGCAAACAAACAAAAACAACAACAACAACAACAAATTAAAACACCTTTTCTGTGTTCCCATCGAGTTTTAGTATAAATCTATTAGCGTTCTATCACGAATGGCGTTATCTGATTGGCTACGCTACTCACTATCTATTCTTTGTTTTAGATATCGAGTAGCATTGCAGTGTACGCTTGTTGACAAAATGACGGCCGCTTCTTTGCGTTTTCGACGTGTCTATGAGGAGGATTTAGATAAAGTTTTGAACGACTAGTAGATTTATACTAAAAAAATTAGATTGTTCGCTCTCGATTTCTATGCGTGATAGTTGAAATCTCGAGCTCAAAATCTAATTGTTAAATGCAAACACCCAAATGTTAAGCGAAATGAAACATGTTCGTTCTACGCGTCCTTGCGCTCATGTTCTGTTGTCTTTCATATTTACTTTTGCTTGGACGTATGCTCGTTTCCCAGAATGCCTATTTTTCTCGCCACATCAACTTACAGTTGATGAAATATCTTTGGTCTGTGATATTGCAAATTATACAAACAGGCATTGCTTAGAGGTACGAATTTCATTTGTTGACATAACGCGGGCTTTCCTCCGCAGGGAATAGAGCTTTGTTCAAAGGGGGCTGATCATAGAAACAATGAACCTCGGAGGCTATTGCGTTCGCTTTTGTTTACCACTATACAACTGTCAGTAATAAAAAATCTGCATGTGTTTGCCATTGACTCTAAAAGGAATGACAACAACATTTATCCTTTTGAAAAAGCAGTTTCTATAGAATTAAAGCAGTACGGCTTTCAGCTTTGGTAGTCACAAAAATTATAGGGCGTTTTCTAAATTGTATGTATGTCAGGTTTTTCAGCAGGTCTACTGACATCATTTATAAAAAGGACTAGTTTTAATGTAGCCTATAAAAGGGCAGAGTCATATTGTCTGACGTCGAACTTGTTTGTGTATCACGAATCTACATTCAACTATTACACCATGAGCTTGAAGTTTCGACAATATCACCCAAGGCTTTTATTGTAAATACTAGATTTATTTTCGATGGACACTTAATCTACGGCTTCTTCAGGTTTAAAAAATTAAGACTAGCCTCTTCGTTTCTCTCATTTCAGTACGATTGCTCCGTTACGTTTCTAAGGTTCAGCATGGCCTGAAGTGGTCATGTTGAAGGAACTGTAGTCTGGGTGTGTCTCAGTTGTTGGTTTTGTTGTGTCTCAGTTTCTTAGCAGTCAGAAGTTCACCTCTTCCATTCGCAGTATAAACAGCCAACTTTTAGCCGGCTAACCTCCTACTATAGAATACAGTTGTGTTCCGAGCGTAAACGATTAAACCAGCTATCATAAAAAAAAATAACAATGAAAAGTTAAAAAATAAAAAAAAATTTAAAAAAATTTAAAAAATATCTTTATTGACCACTCCCCCAATTGAGTTTTCCAGGGCCAGTGGAAATAAATGGTGAAACAAATGCAATGTAAATGAATAAAACGCGGTTAAGAATCCTAACTGGCAGGAGTCAGACCATTTGGCTATTTACAAGCGTGGCCGAAGGGTTGAACTCGGGACCACGGCGACCTCCGGATTTCAAGTCCGGCATCCTAACCACTCGGCCACGCTGCTTCCTTTCATGTCATCTAAACCTGTCCATCTTGATTTTCTTTAACTCGACATTTCACTTTCTCTTTGATTGACAGGAAGGCTCGATGATCTACGTGCACGACACTGGTGCAGTTCTGTTGTTTGGCAGCGGTGCTCTGTTTTGTTGGGTTCAGACCTATCTCACATACAAGCTGACCCAGCTTGGGATAAACTCGCAATTTCTGTTCACAATTCGTTTCATTCTGACATGCGTCATCTCTGTGTTTGGTTCGATTTTCTTCGTGGCGGAAATATTCGCCTACGAAGAGTTTCGCCAGCAATCTGCCCACGTGGTGGCGAACTGGCAGCCCTCAGACCCAGGCTACAGTATCCATGTGCTCAGCAATATTGGCGAGTGGATCGCAGCACTCTGTTTTGGCATGTTTGGCCTCACGTTTTTTGAGGAATTCCAGAAGATTTCTTTGCTGGTGGAATGCAGTCAAAAGTGCGAAAACCGTCAGAACAGTCCACTGTTGGAGTATACCAACATCAACAGCGGGGACGAAGAGTAGGAAATCTTGCTCTTGTAAAGCAATGGTCAAACGGCGCATGATAGTCGGTGATATTTCATAGTACTGACAGGCTTTCATTTGACCACCAACTGTCTCGCACTATCATTAATCTTTCCCTTCTCTCCTCGTGGAGAATGGGGCCATCAATCCGTCTCCTCCAAGCAACTCGGTCTTTTACCGCCACCTCTACCGGGAACCTCTGCACTATCATCAACTGTCATTCACTTTGAGCCTGTTCAAATTCTTCATGATATATTCGATGATAGTTTTCCCTTTTGACCACACGTATGATTATTGATGATAGTTCATGATAGTTAGAGGGAAATCAACTATCATCAAGTATCATGGGCCGTTGGACCAGGGCCTAAAGCGAGCGCTTGACTCGAACACATAATGAATTTGAATTTATGTCAAAATTATTTTATCAATTAATTTATTTGTCTATAAAATTTATCAATTTATTTATTTACATTTTCAATAGAGGGAAAAATCGTACAATTGAACAAATGTGACAAACGAAAGAAAAATGTTGAAATTAAAAGCTATTTCAAAGCAGTTTTCTCATTGATAGGGTCGCCACAGGTAATTCTTCAAGGTCACAGAAAAGTCAGGGAATCTTAATTTGCGTCAGGCAAAACTGACATTTTGAAGAAAAGTCACGGAAAATAAAAATTAAAACACTCCGGTTATTGAAGGCTTGAAGAAACAGTTCGGGTTATTGCGATGATGATCTCAAAGAAGTTTTAATGAAGAAGATGAATTTGTTGAAAATGAATTTAAGGGGGCCGAGAGGCTACTACATGTACTATATGTGACATCTCGTATTCATTTGGTCAGGGAAATTTTAATTTTTATGGGGGAAAAGTTAGAGAATTTTGAAAAAAAAAAGTGATCAATGTGGTAACCATTTCATAAGGATAAGTACTAACTGTCTCGCCGCGAGTTGCGCCGTGAAAACAAGTCGTGCGCTCGCAAGAAAGAGAGACGACAGTGAATGACTTTCATTCCGGCTAGTTTTATGAAATTTTTCATACGTTATCTAGTAGGACTGAAGCGAAGTGTAAAATGCTGTGGAGCCTTTCTTTGGCTGTTTGGGAGCTAGTGTGCCGTAAAACACGAGTCGGTACTCCTGCGTAAAGGATGTGTTAGTGATGGTAAGATCCTGGCCACACACTATGGCTTCCGGCTACGCAGAGTTTCGATGGTCTCTGCTGGCGCCGGCTGCACGCAAATCGTACAGAAAGGGACACTTCCCATTATGGGTCATTTTGGCACCTGGCCTCACACGAGTCCACGATAATGGTCTCGGCTACACAGAGTTCGATGCTATCTCCAGTTGTACACAAACCTTACAGAAACGGACAATTCCCATTATGCATACATGGTACCTAGTCTCACACGAGTGCGCACTGATGGTCACGGCCACACACAGTTCGATGATCTCTGCCGGCTGCTCGCAAACCTTACAGAAAGGGGACACCTCCCATTATGGTACCTGTCTGACAAGAGTGTACGCTACATTTGTGATCTCCGGTAAGAAGAGAGTAGCTTCCTGAACTAACTCCAAAAAGAAGACTTCATTTGAAACGACACGCGTCAGATCCATAAACGATCAAAAGAGACTTGATATTTCATTCACCCTTTTGGCGTAGGAGTTCCACCGCATCTGAAGCCCTGCGTCACGTTAATGCGGATGCACGATTTTGATTTACACTGGGAATCCTCTTGGGAAGGTCAACTGGAAGAGTTTTAGCCAATAGAAATCCTACAATTCAGTACGACACACCAGCCGGGGTTAATTTGAGGTTTTCTCGTGCGGATTTTTAACGTCATAGAATATAATTTTGTTTCTCGAAACCTCACTGTCCCGCCTTTGACCCGAGTCGATTCCTGTACCGCTCCAGGACATCAACTTGCTATACGATCTTTAAACCAAATTAAAAAAATATAAAATATGCCCTGCTCCACAAAAGACAAATGATTTCTCTATTATCGTTCCTATAATTTTCATAGTTTTGACAAGAAGGACTGAAAAGGATTTTGCTCACCGAAGTCAAATTTCAACTGGATAGAATGGAATGCATTAAACAGTACAGCACCGCGGTTTTAGTACGCTAACAGGATTACTTTCAGGTTATTCCACCTTGGACAAATCACCCAACACTGGCGGTCTTGTGTAAGAATATGACGGGCTTATTAACAAGATATCTTCTAATTGAGTTTGGTCGACCTTTGAATTAAAGAAGGTCCCATCTGATTGTGTTTTCCTTGAAAATAAATGTACAATCTGCACCAGTTCAACAAGTTCAGTGTTTTGACCTGCCTGCGAACTTACAAATAAGCACTGGTGATGTCATGTAGCAGAAACGAAAACATTATTATGGAACATGCTCCATTTATCTACGTGAAGCATGGTCTTTTGGACACCGTTCAGACGGTCTACCACTGAGCTACAGAGCACTCTCGGGAGCTCTTATTGCGGTGACAAGAGGCAAGCCCATGGGTTCCATTTCTGTTGAGAGAATTCGCAATTGTTTCGAATTGTTTATCCCAGTTGCTATAGCTTCTGCCACCAGCAGAATAGATTTTCCAATATGTTGCTATAAAGCTCTTCTCATCATTTTGTGTTATCTGCAGCCTCACTTATAACACTCTCATCTTTATCCTCAAAATGCGTACACCGATACATAACCAGTTCCTATTTTTGGCCCGTTCCGGCTGCGATAAAGCATCTTGGAATATTGTTTAGCCGAATGCGTTGAATTACGTACGTCGTAACTATCTTTCAGCATTGCATATTGTAAATTGCATAGGTGATACATAGTGACTAAGTCTCTAACTACGTTTAATGTGCCTCTAGAATTTTACCTCGGCTTTTGCCGAAATGACTGAGCTAAGTTTGTGTTGTCCGGCGACGAATATCGTACTAATAAAACAAAGGTTGCAGATTTCCCGCGCTGAGAGACAAATCGTGGCCTTGTCAAAAACCAACTGGTATTTTTAACAATCACATCTCGTGCAGCCCTCAGTCAACTAGTATCAGAAGTTCTGGAAATTATTTCTTACACCGTAAGATCACATAGGCGTTTCTGTTCAGAGTTGCGCTGATGTGAAATTCAATGAGAAACGGAAATCGTTCATCAGCTTGTTGATCGATGGTAGCCGGTTTTCGCTAAAAATCTCACTGAAGTCCGGCTGTGGTCCAATAAGGAATGAGTAGTTTAAGGAGTCATTAACAGATCGCACAGATAACGTATATATTGTTACTATTTTCTGACTCCAAAGACAGAAATAAACTATTTTGTTATAAATACCTCGTACTCGGTCCGGCTTATCAAGACGCATCGAAGGTGGTGATAACAATAGCTTGACTAGCTCTTAAGATGGCTCCAGCTCCTGTAGGGTCCATTAAAAACTGCGGCTGGATAAT